GTAGGAGCGGCAGGTCGCACGTTCGCCATCATGGTCTCTCCTCCCGGTTGTGGCTGAGCGGTAGCTGAGCGGCGCCCATTGTATCCTCCGGCCATGGTCGAGTTAACAGAAAACGAAACAACAAAAAGGTGTGGTTGAGTAAGCATTGCTTTCTATTTATGGATTTATGGATTAATCGGTGTTTCATTGGTTTTGACAAACTTTTTGCATCGAGGCTCAATCTTTGGCCTCCCAAAAAGCCAACTGCCATGCTGACGTTGCAGTGGAGGTGCTGTCGAGGTTGTCTTTGAGTACCGGGCCTTAAGTTATTCTACCCACAATAATGGCTATTATTGTGCGCGAGCTGCGCGCAATAAAGGCCGTTTTATTGGGCAAATTTTTGGCAGGGTGCCAAAATCTCTGCCAAACCGTTTAGCTGTTTGCTTAATAATAAACTGGACTCTGTATCTTCTTTTCACTGGCTAGCTAGTCTTTTATTTTAAAAATATGCTAGCTAGATAAATGCTTTATCCAGTCAAGAGCTGGACTCGCGAAACTTTATTAGTCCCCACGCTGCACGCCTGCCTGTATGGATAACTACCCATCACTATAGCTACATTAGTAGGATAACCAACACGTTAACCGGGCTATCGTGCGAGCCGGCGCATCTCGTTTGGCGAGCGTCGCGTTTCGCACAGAAAAAAATATATATTACAGTACCGGTACCGAGCACCGTATTATTAATACATGAAATTAACCAGCCATTTCGCACACGCCGCAGCACACCCCGCGGAGCAATCGTACACCCACGAACACAATTATTCCACCACCATGCGTCGTGCCCTCCCCTGATGCGAAAGAAGTGGGGTTTCAACTTTCTTCAGTACAAATTTCGATACAAGACTAGTCATTCTAGGCTCCATTTTCGATACATTATCCCAGAGTAGTGATTATTTGAAAAGTTTAGTCCTGTTAAGACACCAGAAAGAATATCGAAGACTTAACGCACCATGACCAGGGAGGTGCATCGTACCCTCTAGACGAACGACCTCACATTTTGGTCTCCGTGGAAGATCGCATCATTGGAAGCCAACAGTTGAATCTGTCACTACAACTACAAAACTATGAGGATCAATGCTAGTCAAGTCTTTTCGAAGTGGTTGCTAGATAAGAGTTTCTATCCCTACAATGAGTTAAGGGCTACCAGGTATAGCTTTGAATGTAAGTATGTTTTGCTGGAGTCAGGAGAGGTCTATCATCCCAGTTTCAGGTCCTTGAAATGTTTGGCAGTAAGTAGCTTTGACACTCCCAGCTTGGAACAAGTCATCATGAGTGGAAGTGCCAAGCCCATGACTCCTGATATGAGTTGCATTCTTGACAGCATGGAGTCTTGGGGATACTATCACAGCATGGATGGTACAGTGTTGTTCTTGACATATTGGCTACCATGGTTGAAGAGGACCAACCTACAAGCAAGGAGAGGATGTACAAGTTGTGCATTTACTGGAGAGTTAGAGACAAGGCACATGGTACTTATGAGATTGACTCTGTTGATCATGATGCTGTGATGACTTACTGGTCTGACTGGTTTGACAGGACATACCCAATCATCAAAGTCTCCTTCAGGGTAATGACACTGATGAGTGAGGACTTTGTTAGAGACATCATTACTTACATCCAGACAAGGGGAATTGTTCCTTACCCTCCCAACATGGATGGACCTGACTCCATTACTAGCAGTAATTTCGCCAGTTCAGCTTGGATTAAATCTTTGTTCGCCTTGTCCTGTCGCTGAAACTCTTCGTCATTGTCTAATTCAGCAATCAAATCTTCTATTCCTTGCATTGCCTCTGCTGTCGGTTCAACCAGTTCGCTGTCCTCAACAGCAACCTCAATATCCATTTCTTCGCCAAGTACATCACTCAAAAAACTGGCGATGACTGGATCATCCGCACTGTCATTGTCACCGTGTAGTCGGTATCGTTGTTCGTGGACTCAGTAGGATTCGACACATTGTGAACATCTTGTCCAGAGCATAACTGAATCCCATTTGCTCTTCTTCTTCTACAGCGGTTGGTGCAGAAAGGCCTTGATAGGGTAGCTCCTCATCTTTAAATCCAACCGACTTGGCAAAAGAATTGAGCAAGATCAACTTTTCGGTGAACTGGGTTCCATAGTCTTCTTCGCCAAGTCGGATAATGGCTTTGCGATGGTTCCTTCCTTCGAAGAAAGTCCAAAGCAGCCTATCGCCCCGGTGAATTCCTAGTGGTCAAAAACGCGATGTTAGTAAAATGGGAAATCTGCGAAGAGCAACTTCAAGGAGACTTACCAATATGTGTGGCTGTCAGAATGGTATGAGCGAGATCAAGGTTGTCTCGCTCATTTGTGTTAGTTCCTCTTGCAACAAAGACAATGCCGCTGGTTGGGTGTTGGCGCCAAATATTCAGGACTTCGATTGGAGGATCCGACAGGCAGCCCCTATCGATGTGTTTGAATTGCTCAATAACAACATCACGGATTTTGTTAGCAGGCTTGAAAAATCGCTTTGGCATTGGTGTGGTATCATCAGGCGCTCGAAGAGATATCTCGATGTCTGTTTGAACATCTTTGGCTTGGAAATACCGGTACACCGCTTCAACGTTCTTCCTCAACAAGCCTGGTTCTGGAATGCGGCTGCGGGCTTCCTTCCTGATCTCCTTGACGGTTGGTTCACGCCCCTCCTTCTTCTTGGCCAGCTTTTCCTTAACTCTCTCCTTGGCCGCTTCATACTCTTCAGTTTCCACTGTGAAGCAAGCGCTGCTAAAGAAAGCTCTGACAACACCAGCGTGGAGGGAAGAGGGCTCGTGCATACAATCATTCCATCGTCGGAGCCAGTGGAAAATGTCAAGTTTGATTAGGATCGCTGCCCCAAAGATTGACTTGATGACATTCTTGACATTGCAGCAGTTATCAAGGTACACCACCTTCACACTGTCTTGCATAACCGGATCGGGAATTGGCTCTATGACACCATTGTCATCATTCTCCTTTCGCTTTTTTGCCACCGCCGTCTTCCTCGCACTGAGATAATTGCGGTCCAGCCTTGTTTTCAGTCTCTCAAGGTCGACCTTGATCTCTGAGAAGGATTCGGAATGCTTCAAAGCCTTCCAGAAAATTGTCAATCCATCTTCATTTTGAATGGTGACAATGCACTTGTATGGAGAGAAGCTTTGTCCTTGCTTGGTCCACACTCTGATCTTCTTGGCCAGCTTGTAATTGAAATCAATTTTGAGTGCATTTGCAACAATTCCCTGCATCTTGCTCTGTATGAGCGATTTCCTTTGGTTGAAGACTGTGGCGACTATGCTGTCAATGCCATATTTGGAAAGGATTCGCCCATTATACCCCTCCTTGTCGTTGAATTTCGAAAACAGCGGTGGTCGCCATTCTTCTGCATTTTCCGTGGCATTCTCTGGTGGTTCTTCTGGTGGATCTGGTGGTGTATCATGCTGGTCCAGCTGTGCCTGGGCGTCCTGCAGTTCCAGTTCGGCTGCTGTCAATTTTGCCTTCCTGTCTTTGGCGTGGTTTTCTAGCTTCTCGTAGTAACTCTGTACTAGCAACTGCCACCTAATAAATTTTGTCTTGTTGATGTGCGGGTACCACCCAGCCTTGGCTTTCCCTAGCTCTTTTGCCGTAGTAATTCCAGCGATAATGAGACTGTTGATCTTGGCCGGTCCAAGTCCTGGCAGTATGTTCCGTGCACCATGGACGTTGTGGTTGCCTTTGTCGTTTAGAAGACTCTTCAACTCAATGTCTCTACTTGCTCTTGACTGGGCACTTTGGAAATCAAGCTTCGCCTTCACCACTTCATGTTGCCGCTCCCTTTTTCGCCTAACAAGACGGGCATAGACATCATCTTCTATTACCGGAGCTGTAAAAGCTTTGTTGATCCTGGGCTTCTTGATTTTCTTTACCCCGACAGCGGAAAGGTACAAGTGGTAATCTGAGTAGTAGGCTTCATAAGCCAAGCTCTTCAGTGTGCGTGCAATGACTGCTGTTGATTGTTCCGCGGAGCTCAGGACAATGTACCGGTGAAGCTGTTCATCAACAGCGTACGTAGGGCCAAGATAGAAGTTGAAGAACCCATGGTAGATGTCCGCATCCAGCTGCATGGAAACTGGGTGGTAACCTGCGAATCTACTGGCACAACCAGTGCATGGATAAAGATATGTGTCCAAGTACATGTGTCGTTCCATGCAAAACAGAGTTTTTGGGGCATTCATCCAGCGGACTTTGTTGACATCCACATATCGGCTGGTTTTACAGTTGGGACACTTGGGCACATGGTTCTTTATCAGTCTATGCGGAACCCATGACGCCATCGCCTTCACATAGAATGAACCAACTCGCTGAGTGGTTTTGTCATCGGCATTCAAGAGTGAGCTGTCATTAATTCCACTGCTGGGCGATATCCTTCGCCAGTTGTTGCTTTGGAAGAATCCCTTTGGGTCGGCGTCCATCTTGCTTCTTGTCTTCTTGATGAACTGCCATTGTGCCTTTCCTATTTGCTTCGGTCTACCGGAAAGATCCGTCATCGTGGATTTGTCATTGGCCGTCTTTTTGTGGAACGGTTTCGACTGGATTTCACCGCGTCCGTAGGGTAGAGGTTAAAGCGTTGAGTGTAACAAAATCACACCAGTCACGAAAGAATTTCCAACAAGATTCAGAATATTTCACGTAGTATCGAATTAGAAGTACAGAAGAACCTATGCTAAATGCCTCGAAATGGCGTTTCTAAGGTTCTTTGACCTTCTTTGTGCCGGAGGTAGTTATCGTAGATGTTTTCTTAGATTTAGAGGGAAGGCGGTGGGGAAACCATTAGAGTTCGGGGTAATTACATTCTTTAATTCTTTTCCTTCTTTTTTTTTTCTCTTCCTGCGCGATACCCCTATTTTGGCGGACCCCTCCCCTTGAGCTCGGTCTCCATCCTCATCTTAGCTCTCTCTAATCCATAGTAAACCCGACAATTATATTCCACCACCATGATCAACCCCGCCAACACCCCAAGAAACAAGAACAAGGCTGACCCAGATACACCACAGTCAGCTAGCATTAACACCACATCAACCAGCGACGGCACTACAATCACCCTTGATAGTTCCTTGGCGGGCGAAGGCGTGTCAGAAGTATTCGTTATATAGCATCATTCGTCCTTCCCTTAGAACGGGGAGGCAGTCTACCTTTTCCTGGGTCCTTGGCTGAGTGGTTAGCATGCCGTACAGTGTGCGAAGTTTGTGTGTAAATGGGTCACACTGTACGGCATGCTAACCACTCACCCAAGGACCCAGGAAAAGGTAGACTGCCTCCCCGTTCTAAGGGAAGGACGAATGATGCTATATAACGAATACTTCTGACAAGGCGCCCCTGCTGTAGCGTCATCAATTCCGGGATTGTATCCGCCCCAAGAGACCGGCGAAGAAGAGGAGGAAGAAGAGATTGATCAGGAGGGACTCCCAGAAGACATCAAGGAAAACACATACCTTGGTGAAGAAGGAGAAGTCCAGCTCATCAAAGACCTGGAAAAGCACGACCTCGCTGACAACCGCATTGACCTGTCCCACGGTAAGGCCCACTGGAGAGAGATTGCCACCGACTTCCATCAAAGTGCGATCAAGGAGATCGAGGATTATGTCAAGACGTCCGAAGGCCACAAGGATCGGCTTTATGTCGATGCTATTCTGTCGAACGTCAAAGTTGGTAACCAAGGAAACAAGAAGGAACCTGACTTGCTTGTCTGGGGGAAGTCTCGCCTCAAGGCATGCAAAGGGGGCCGGGTGCGGCCCATTACAATGCAGGTTGCGGGATCAAATGCACGTCGAAGGATGAATCCCCATGTAGTTTTCGAGTTCAGCTGGTCCAACAAATTGAAAACCAAGGAAATTCCCAAGTTTCGTCGCCAGATGGATGAGCACGATGGAGCACTCGGAGCTATCGAACTTGGCTTTCTCATCAAAGCCATCCCTGTCTCTGGAACAAAATTGCCGCCTGAAGACAACCCAAGCTCAATTCCAGTTTGTGGATTTGATGTTTACGAAGCGCGTCCTGGCAATGGTAAGGGCGTGAAAGCAGGCCATCCCAACCACAAATATTGTGTTGACGAGATGGAAGATACCTTCATTACCATTTCAGGCAGTGACCTGGGTGACGGTGACTACGCAAACATCGATATCCCCCTACAGAAAATCCGTGATGTCCTTGATGAGGACCTTGGTGTGGTTTTTCAACGGCAGACAAAGCCCGAGGATTGATTGATTGATGTCGATTGATTCACGTCCCCGTCACTGTGTGTGTTTGATTATGGGAGTTCTTGTGGTGCTGGCCAGGGCACACGTAGAAAATGAAATAAGAAGTGTAATTGGGATTTTGGCTGGCGACAAGATCTTTCCTATATTCCCTGCGATTCCAGCTCATCCGCTTCACACCTGGCAGTTTTGTTGAACCAAGACCTTCAATGCATGTCATCCACCGATAGGGAATCGTTGGTTGACGGTCGCGGAAGAATCTTTAGATTGGTAGTTGCGGTAATCCAAGGGTTAAAAATGTGTTTGAATTGTTACCGCATCTACCTCATTTAGAAAGTTGTCTGACAGCATGAGAGTGGCAATATTATTGTGGTATTTGTGTTCCGTCCTTTCTAAGAAACGTTTGTGCAGAATAAAACACCGAAATTGTGGTACGGTAGCTAGTTTAGTTTCTGTTCCGACTCTGTAGGTTTGTCAACAACAACAACAACACCATCATCCAAAGTGTGACGAGTGAGGAGCTATCTATCCCGGTAGGCTCAACAACAAGAAGGATATCGAGACCCTACTAGCTAGTAAGCTGCACTGTTCGATATTTTTCATAAGACCCCAGGAGTGCGCAACTGAGTTACATCTGAGGGGGGATTAGAGTAGGGAAATTATCTACGGAAGCCAGCCGGGGCCAGGCTTTTAAAAGCAAAGAACAGTCGAAATTCAGAGGTTGAGTGTTCCAAATGAGCTCTTGTTGAGATTCTATATACCTCCTCAGCCCTCAGCCACCTCCACAGTTGCAAGAAGACACGAACCGGTCGGCGCCGTACTGAGCTAGCAAGCTAGATCTACATGTAGTACGGTATGACATGGCTAAAGACTTTTTTGAAAGGTATGTATGTTTTTGAATGTTAGTACTGTGCTGGTATTTGACTACTACTAATATGAAGAAGGAAGATGAAATGCCATCGTTGTGTGTTTGTGTGTTGCCCCCACCCTGATTACAATACAATACAACATGACTGTTGCTTTACATGAACCGTTGACGTTTTTGCTGTTGCAAGTATTCGTCTTCCATGAGTCGCTTGCGCTGTTCTTGTTCAGAGTTGTCTTGCTGTTGCTGTTGTTGTTGCAACTGCGTGTGCAATCGCAAGAGTTCGGACGAGTCTCGTCGTACGGGTGTTTGCTGGAGGCGCATCATGTCATGCTGACTGATACCGGGAGCGGGCTGATTTCCGGCGGAAAAGCGTCGACTCGACAGCATGGTATTGAGGGAGGGTCGATAGGCCGCTGCCTGAGCAGCACTTGCGGCGGCGGAAAATCCAGTGAGACTGTTGCGTGTGACGGCAGCGAGACGGGCTTGTTCGAGGACCGCCGCTTGTTCCATATCCAACATGTTGGAGAGACCCTGGGCGGCAGAAGGTCCGAGAGGAGATGGAGAAGGAGGACGGAAGGATGCGAGACCGGATCCGAGGGCGGAAGGAGAGGATGTACGGTTCAGGCTCAATCCAAGGAGAGCTTCTTGACGGGCAGCGGCATAAGAGCTGGGAGCCGGTCCGAGGAGGGACCCAGCAGCTCCTCCTGGGGCTTGAAACTGATGATGCTGCAGTTGGAGCGAGGGCAGAGTGGACAAGAGAGGACTTCCCGTGCGTGTGGCATTGGCGAATCCGAGTGCTTCTTGGCGGCGCTGTCGGGCGAGCAAGAGGGCCGTGTGGTCATTGCTTGCCGATCGGTACAGATCCGAGAGTCCTCCAGCCATGCCTTGTGCGCCTTGAGGGGGAAATGTGCGACAGCTCAAGAAGGATTCCATCTCGGGAGACGAAAGACGCGGAGGAGCGGCTGCCACTCCGGCAATGGCGCCGACTTCTTCCGGTCGAAAGGCAGCAGCAGTCTCTTGTGCTGCCTGATGACTTGCAGTGGTGGTATTCATGTTCTTGGAAGCCTTGACGAGTTGAATGGTCTGAAGACAATCCTTAAACTTCTTCTCGAGCATTTGCAGCTTGGCCATGCGAGCACGTCGTTCCATGGGACTCATGGGCTCTTCGCTATTCCAGTAGAGTTGCTTGCCGTCGTAGTTCTTGCCTTCGTATTTCTTACTGATGCGTTTGGGTTTGCAGTTCAGTTTCTTGGCGAGAAAGCTGCGGAGTGTGGTGCCTTCTTGAATGTCCAGAGTTCCAGCGCGAAACTCTTCCATCAAGCCTTCCACATATGCTTCTTCTTCAGGAGTCCACTTGCCCGCATGGAGCTTGGCAGGAGGAGCTGGTGCGGCAGCAGAAGGACGCTTGGAGGCGGATGTGGAGGTACTTCGTGTGGTTTGATCCATCATTATTGTGTGCTAGTAAAAGTAGCTACGTAGTCTAGTCTAGTAGGCAAGAGTGGAGCTTGATTTGCTTCGGCTTTCAAGTTTTGGCTCTTGACAGATTGTGAGCTCCAGTCCATCAATTCAGAAAGAGTTCAAAGAGACAGTAGCTACTGGTAGCCACAGAGTAGACACACCAGTTAGGCAGTGTCGTTTTTGCCATTCGTTGCTCTGCACCATCTATGCTCGGCGTTTGCTAGGAGCAGCCCTTTACACAGTGGGTTTGTACACGGTACCACACGGTGTCGGCGAAAGTGCCTGAGGAGGCTGTTTTCAAACACCCACTGGCGGGTCTTACAGTGTTTTCCCACGGTAGCGCCGGTGATGTGGGCCACGACAAGATCGTATGTACATCCAGTACTGATCGGAGCTTCAAAATGGAAACACATCACCGAATGTCGCGTGTCACGCCGGAGACCTGCCATCCTAGGCCCTTCAAGGCAGCAATACTCACATGAGAAACTCCGCAAATAATGCCTTAACTAAAACTTAGCTCTTGACGACGAACGAATCGAGAGCAACAGGTGAACTTCCATTTCGGCAACCTAAATAGAGACGCCCAATTTCAGAAAAAGTAGACTCACACTCTACTCAAAGAGCCACCCAACGTAGTCCCAAAGTAGTCCCAAAGTTCAAAGTCTTCATGAACACGCCGAGTAGAAAACCGAAAGAGCAAACAACAAGTTCTGCAATGCCTTTGATCACCAGTACATACGATACCAAGCAGCGATGTATGATGGACATCTATACTTCTGAGGAAGGATCCACTTAGGTCTTCGCTCAGCTGGGCTCATATCTTCATTCTCTAAGTCAATGGTTTCAGGGTTTGACTGCGGAACAGAAAGAATTTGCCCTTTTAGCCTCTCTTTATCGGTCAGAGAGCCCTACAATTGTCGACAGGGCAACATTAATAACAATGTCTGCAAAGTCGACCACTGGACCCCATGACATGTCGAATACTTACTGTCAAAAGTTCAAGAAACTCTATTGCAATGTCATCTGTTGCCAATGTTTCTCCCTCTTTTGAGCAGAGCAAGTCAACAATCCCTCAGAATAACCTTACTCATAAGACATATCTATCTAGTTTTGAGCTACAAATAGTTTTGAATGGAATGATCAATCAGTATAGTAAAGCTTCGTCAAACCAAGTCTCTGGAAGATACAAGCAAGGACTAAGTTACAAATTGGGGAGTCATTTGGAACAAATTTCATGTAGTCTGACTAATAGAAGTGGTCCTGATGCTTCATGTTGTCTCCAAAGCTCAGCTATTATTTTGATTGTGGATCCATCTTTCAAGAGAATCTTAACAGCAGGTTTGTTCTACCAGTTTGCTTCCCAAAAGTGTTCTTCATCGTGCTCAGCTACCTGCTGGCTATGTCTACATTTTTTACTGGTACCGGTACAGGTACCAGTACCGGTAGGGGGGTACCTAGTAGGGGACTTGTATTTCGTAAGTTAGTTAACAACTGGTACCTAGTAGAGTGCTACCGCTGCCGTAGTCACTTGGAACTGTAGCTCATCAATCGTTTTAACGGGAAGGCAGAAACTTGGCAACAATTCTCTCAGCCCTCAAGTCAAGCACCATCTCCTCGCTTGAACCTTTCTCCAAATTTCGCAACCGAGATGGGTGCCCTGCGGACCCTCAAAATCCAACTTCAGCCTCTCCACATTTAGGATCGTGCTTCCCGTGAGGCGTCATGGGGTCCGAAGAATGCGATCAGCAGAAGGATCCTGAGCAGCTCACAATTCATTTCAATCACAGTTGCCAATCAATGGTGAACCCTAAGTGCCTTAGATGCTCGGTTTCAATCTTCGTGACCAAAGAAGCTTTCGAGTTCACGAATCTGGCTTCAGTAAATTGACACCAGAAATGGATCACTTTCAGACTAAACAGTGATGTTTTGAGTCAAGGACGCTTTCTTTTTCAGAACCCCGTTTTAATGTCTTCGTCGCTAATCAAGTCGAGATCAGGACATTCAAACGTTGCATCTGTACCACTGACGGGAACCTCCTCTTAACCCACTGAAATTCGTTCAAGAGAAGGGCATCCACAATGCCTCCCCTGTACTATCCTGGGGATCTGATTTCAACGTTTCGGCTACTGAGACTCCAAAGTCTGATCGCGTATCTTTTCATTATGCCATTCCGTCTCCTATACTTACTTGAAGTTTTAACTGTCACTGTGCGTTCTTTGACAGTGCGGCATTGGTGTATGGTGTACCGGTAGGCATGGCCTGTCTCTAAAAAAAGTGGAAGCGCTTCAACCCATTCCTGCACGGCCAAGGTGGGGCTTCAACATGACAAGATGAAAAGGGGTGGCATGATGGTGAGGGGATGCCCCCAGACAAGAAAGGGGGTGGTTCGGCCTCGGGGGACTTTTTCCAACTCCACGACACCTTGACGATCAGAAAATGTTCCATCACGACCAAGCAACAAACCACAGCGCAACAAAGGACCAGAGTACCGGTGCGCAACTACGTTCAGCAACCCAAAGAGAGACCTCTACGGTGCATCAGCCTGCAATCAACACATCAGAGAAGGCCAATTAATTCATCGTTGTTGATTTCGCCGAGACGAGGAATATCGCTCCACTTCAATCCTACCGGTTGGCAGGTCAGGACCTGGTTCTTTGCTATAACCTGCTTGAAGCTTCGCTAAGCTATCCGGCCAGGCCCACGGTAACGTGGTTCGGGCTATTCCACCATGCAAGTAGCCGGGTATAGTAAAGAAGCTCAGAACTTCTGGGCTTCTCTGCTTCGTTCATGTAGGATGTAGGTTGCATCGCATCGCTCCTCGGAGAGAGCTAAAGAGGAGCGAGCGAACCAGGACTTCTTCTAAGCGGTATGGACGCAGACGTCATTCATTTAGTTAGCCACGATGTGCCGGTACTCGTAGTAGCTCGCTCGTCCTTCTAGGGGGGGGGGGGACCCACGAGGTGCGTGAAAAGTGCCAAAGTGCTTGCTGGAAACGCTGGTAGATCGTCGTCGCAACGAGCGAGCTAAGAAGCTTCAGTGGAACCTGTGCATCGTACATGAAGCACTGCTTGCCACGCAAAACGCTGCATAGTCTGATCGTCGTCGACAAGTAGGCAAGATGCTCGAACAAGCTTAGCCAAGGTGAACGACCTGCGAAACTTGGAAGGAAACGTGGAGCGAGAAACGCAAGGATACACCGTTGACGAGCGACGGTGAGTTCTCGAGACGAGTCGGCATCGGTCCATCGAGGAGCCCCCACCGCTGTGCCCCTCCGCTCCAGAACTGCCAAGGGTACTATTCATTTCGCTATTGCGTTTGGATGCGAGAACTCGCTCCGCACGTCGTGGGCCGCAAGCAACGTGGCACCACCGATATGATCCGCTACGATATCCGATCGTTGTTGCTTCGTCTGGGCAAATGCATCGCTTGATCTATGGGGAGGAGAGTTGACGAGTTGTTGCAAAAGAATGTGTACACAGCTATAGTACGGATGCTTACATGCAAACATAGAAAAACGGCGAGGTCGATGCCTGCCTGTTCCGTAGTAACACGGAGTGGCGACTGCCACCGCGCCAGAGCGTTGGGTTTCGTTCGGTCACAAAAAGGGCTCATCACTTTGCTACAGTCACTAGAAAGGTTGGTGGTGGGTCGTCTGCCTCGTCGTCCATTTCGTCATCCCAGTTATTATCACCAACACCACTGTCATAAGACAGTCTTCGCTCGGGAGTCACGCCATAATCAGCTTCATAGTCCCTCAGATACTTCTGGACCATTTGTGCCCCCTTCTTCTCCCACTCTTTGCGATTGATCTCAGCATAGTTCAAAAACTCATCACTGCTTACTCCAAACACACCACACTTGAAGAGCTTCTTCGCCAGTGGAATGATATAGAAATCAAAGAATCCTGAAGCAGCAAAAAGAACCGATACAGAAGAGCATTCATGAGATGATGAATTCAATAATGGCTGTCCATGCATGATAAAGAACTAAATAAAAGCTTACCCATCTCCCCCTCATGCCAGCCAATACTTGGATCCTTGTCCAATCGGCCATCTTTGTAGGCTTTGTAGAGCTCAAGAAACAGCCTTTCGTTCTGGTGGTTTAGCGAAGTCGGATGAAACAGAAATTTGAGTGGATTTCATGGGTCTCCCATGAGAGCATAATAAGTGTTGTAGCCTTACCCATTTGGCATAAATGTGCCAGTGCTGCATTGTGTGGGACACTGGAAAAACAACAAGGTATCAAGCAGACAAGGTCAGCTACATGACACGACTGGTGCCGGTATGGTTGTAGGCGCAACCAACTGTGGCGCTTCTTTGAAGCTTACCATCTGAAGCTTGAATCAAGTGCTCAATCTGCAGTACGAGAAAGTGAATGAAACAGAAGAAATCATGCATCAGCTGGCAAAGAGGCTCTGGCCCTGCAACACAGCAATGTCACGATACTTACAACAATGGTTGCCTTGCGATTGACTGTTTCAGCCTTGGGCTCATTCCTGGGTTCTTCACTGAAGGCCAAGTTCCAGCGTTCCTTGCGAGCTGCTCCCAATTCTTTGTCCATGATATCTGTGGTTTAAAACACAAGGAAAAGTGAAAGAATGAAAACAAAGTCAGTTAATTGCCTTGCGTGCTGCACCCCTTCAGAAGCTACAGTGGAGACTTACCAGTAGCGCACACAGAGTTCACCACCAACTGCCGGAACCTCCTGAAGTCAACCTCGTCACAGCAAACTGTCTTGAGGAGCTTGCCATAACTTGGATCTGCAAGGAGTCCCCATGCCAAATCAATGGAGTTCTAAGCATGACAATGTGTTTCATGAGGAATTGACTTGCAATGTGTGGCCACAGGTCAGAAAGAGGGGCACACATACCTGTTCAGCAAGGCTCTTCTGGTTGTATTTCTCTGCAAGAGGGCTCCCTTCCTTCATCAGGACTGCGTTGGGTACACCCTGGTGATCCAAATCATGTATCAATGCCGAGAAAGCACAGGCAAACTGAGTGAGAGGATCCGAAGTGATCCCAAAGGTATGGCTAGGGCAACAAAGCAAAAGCAGGGTTAGGAAGATTCCATAGGACTCATCAATTGAATGAATACACGCCTTGCTTACTCATGAAGCTCAGAATCCAAATTTGAATCATCATCCATGGCACCCTGATTCCTCTTCAGCAAAACCTCCTTTGGATTGATAATGCGTGAGAGCATCTTTTGGACACTCATGCAAACATGAGAAGCATGTTCAACTACAGAAGGAAAAGAAGGAAGCATTAATGACAAGTGAGTAGGGGTGAGGCAACACACACCTATTCAAAGAGAGTGGCACCCAATCAAGCCTTACAGTTGTGGAAGGGATTGAAGTGGTACATTGTAGCAACCTTTGTGACCAAGTCTTTCAATTGAGCCATGACATCACGATCCAGCTCGATGCATTCGGGGTCTACTTGCTTCTTGACCGCGGTCCCATCAAGATCGGGGAGCTTGATGATTTGCGCAACTTCATCCAGTGGCATTTTTGCAGTACTGTGGGATTGGAAATCTGGAGTGTAGGGTTTTCGTTCCACCATAGCAGCTGCTCGGCGTGCAACAATTCGCTTGATAAGTTGGCTTAGCACCTCCACATTCCAATCAATGAGACGCTGCATCTTGGTTTCCTCCCGAACTCTAAGATTCCCATGATCCTCTGGTTTGATAAATACAGACCCTCGTGCTATTCGCATGTTGAATTCAGCAGAACCCTGGGACTTTGACAGGATCTTGAGGAAGTATGTTTGCAAGGTTCCTTTTCCTTTTGCAGTGATCATGTCCTTTCTAGGCACTAGCCAACCCCCCTTGCCTGCAGCTGTGAGAAGGTCAGCAGTCTCCTGAGAGACCTGGATCTTGTTGCGAACTCCGGTTGACTCCATACGGCTCGCTGTGTTCATTGTGTCACCTGCGAAAAAACAAGACAGGATAAAGGGAAACTTTTAGTGCACCTACACATGCACATAGACGTTGTCCATACATTGGTGTCAAACTTGAGGTTTTCTTACCAAACAGCTGGAACCGACCCTTGTCTCCTCTTAGGACTCCAGCCTTTTTGGAGAACGTATGAGGAGTATAAGTGAGGTATTGGTTAAGTTATTGAACAAAACAAGGGACCGCGAGGTTGGGACCCCATCACTTGATCTTACCGTCACTTGACCAGAATGGAGCCCTGCCAAAGAAGAGAAAGTCAATGAGCTGGTGCAGGTCAATGCAGAACCCTACTTATATGCATCTGAGACACCTACCAACTCGGAGACCCAAGTCTCCTGTGTCTGGGCCCAAGGTCACTTCAAGAGCTTTCACCAGTTTGTGCATGCGATACATGCAATCAGTGGCAAAGCGGGCCATGACAACTGTAATGTGGATGGTTCAATCAAAGAAGAATCATCAGCACATTTTGGAAGTGTGGAATAATCCATGCAGAAACATTCAATGATCAACTTACCCGCATGATCCTTCCTCCTCTCGGGAAGACCACAAACAGCCACTAGACACAGTGAAAAGTGCATTAGAACCAGGTTCAGTGTAAGGTTATGCACCAAGCTATACACTAGCGGTAGACAGCACTCACCATAGCAATCTCCAATGGTTTCGACTGAATGAACAACAAGGGAACTGTGGTTAGTAAATTCGCAATTTCAGTTTAGTAGTTTGAGAGCTGAGATAAAGCACCTTTGAACACCCTTCTGCGTGCAGCTATGTTGTCATAGGAATGATACTGAATGAATGTGATATGCGGTTAGTAGCAGGCAATGTATTTGATTTCAGTCTCCGTAGCTGTTACTTACCAGGAGCTCCAACAGCGTAAACACCTGAATTGAAGAATAGGAGGGGAAAGTATGCTTACTGAGAAAGCGTCCGTTGTTGCAAAGCAGAGCACCGGTGGAGAATTCATACCTGATATGGTTCACGGACAGAAGACCATGCCTATTTGTGCATTTAGACAAGTGCATGAGATTGGAACCTCCAAGGGAAACACGAGCAAGCACAAAAGTAGATACGACTCACAGTAAAGCCCACAAGATCCCCAAACATGATCGTTGTATAGGGATGCAATTCAGCAATGGGTTTGCTTCCAAAGATACCTTCACTGGATAGGTAACTACTGAGCTTCCTTTCTGACAATCGGTGTTGCCCTTCTCCATCTTTCAAAAAGATATCCTCCTGCTTGGAAGCTCCCACTCGATTGTTTCGATTCTTGGCATCTTGAATCATTCGCGCCCGGACCTTCTCTGGGAACAAGTTGGAAACAATAGCTGCTTCAGCAGCTGCTTCGGACAAGATCCGGTGCATCTTGATGGATCTTCGCATGTTGTGAACCATCCAAGCAGAAAGCAAAAGTGCCGCCAAAAAGATAATGCCACCAGTCAGAATGCTGACCATCAACTCTGCATTGTAGGTATCATCAATGGGAACCACGACAACAGTCCACGCACGCTGTCCCACCAAGAAGCTGTGCTGATAGAATAAGTCAGGGTGGTGCTCTGCCTTAAGATCTGCCAGTGGGATTTCAGGAAACATGGACAAGGTCCGGTTATTGTCTTGTCCTTGGACCTCAATCTTGATCCCACCCATGAACTCTGGAGGTAGCTCAGGGTCAAAGTTGGAAATGGTAGAATCATACAGGTAGGCTCCCATGGTGACCCCCCGTGAACTGGCAGCTCTGGTCAATAGCGCACGGATGCGAACAATGATGAGACTGAGGTCCGTGGGGCGTGTGTCATCTTCATCTGACAATGGCTTGCCAGGATGGTATAAGACAACCGAGTATCCTTCTTCTTGGTCCTGAGCAACCAAATAGATGCGGGGAGAGAGCACTGGGAGAACCTGCCGCAACGCCTCTTGAATGAGGGGTTTCTCGATATCAATACTCCAAATATCCAAGTGAGTAGCACCCTCTGCGTTTTCCCAGGGCTGAACAAACTGGATTGGAAAGTAAAATGGTTGCTCCGATCGAGGACCAATTTCAAGTGCTCCCTCTTCCCCACCAGGAACAGGTTCCAAGCCAGTAAACCCAACGTCATAGGTGATTCGGGAATCATTGCGATAGTATTCTCGAGTGGTATTTTCAAGCACAAGCCGCTCTGTATGGGTCACATTGGGCATCCATTCCATCAAGAAAAAATCAAGTCCAGAACTTCGCAAGTACCTGAATAGTCTCTCAAAATCAGCATGGCTGTAGTTAGATGTCCTCCAATCACTGCAAGATTCGTGAATCCAAAGGGCAGCTGTTTCATAATCTTGCCAACTCCCATCAATGCCCTCTGCCAAGTCGGTGGCACGTCGAAGAAACAAGGCTTTCTTTTCGTCCTTCTCGTTGTTGATGGCCAGCAACATGAAACTCACAGCAGCGGCAGCTCCCATGATAGTCAGCAGTGCCGAAATCAGAATGGCACGCTTTGCCGTCTTTTCAATGTTGAGCGACTGCTCCTTGATCTCATCTTGGTGAGTCTTGCTCCCTGTTGCTGTCGTCGAGTGGGATGACTCTATTTCGTCGCCTCCGTAGAAATCCAACTTGCCGTCCTTGGTCTCTTCGTCTTCGCTCGTCAGACTGACCGTCGCCATTCCCACCGCTCCTCGATACGCAGGCGAAGACATGGTTCAATTACAACTATCTTACTTCTTGGGCTGTGATTCGATTTCTAAACTAACGATGCAATCTTTCCTTTGTGGAAGACCTTCGATGTTGTTTTTGTGTTGTGAGCCAATCTGTTTGGTTGAATGAAGAATGAGGGTGCGTACCGGTTCCGTGGGAAATCAACGAAGTGACCGAGAACCCTACACTTTCTTCCGCGCTCTCTGTGAGAACTGAGTTCGGAACGAAGGGTTCAATCAATCTCTCTGGATCTTGTAGGTTCCCAGCAAACCACCAATAAATACATCAACAAGATCCAGACATAAAAGATTTAACATTGCCACAAAATTGTGTCATTCAGAGGGTTTGGATGTCACAGTGAGATACCGGTACCGATCCAGTGTACGGCACAAGGACAGAGTGTTCGGTACGTGGTGGATGGGGGGTAGGTACGTTACCGGTAGTACCACTTTAAAGAGCTCAGGAAATGATGAGCATTTTGGCTTGTGCCTCTGGCAGTGGTGGTACTTGTAGCTAGCTAGTAGCGGCATCCTTCTAAGATGATGCAAGCGCTCGGATCAATAATATTGTTTCCAAGCGGCTGTCAAGTGAGACGGGTGAGGAGGAGGAGTGTCCACCCATTTCGGTAGTCACTGGCACCTCCGCACCTCGCTCCTCGAATGATAAAGTAACTTTTCCCTTCCGCAAACTGTACATGTACCCTAGCTACTGTCATACAACCAAGTAGACAGCCTACATCATCCATTTCCTTTATAATAGCTAAAGAAGTTACGTCCCCGATCCTCACGCATTTTTTTGTAAAAGGATGCAAAGAGTACTTCTCTACTAACAGGAACAGGCGAGCAAGACGAAGCAAACAGCCAGTCTTCCTGGAGCCGTTTCCAGTGTTAACTTAAGAATTACATATTCCCCGAGCCGTTCCAACCAATGATGCATCGCAGACTGCCTTTTTTGCAAAAGCAAGCAAACTGAAAGTAGACACTATACCAGTATGCAGATTGGCGGGGAGTCTTCTCGATTTGTTGATTAACATAGTTTTGGTTGTCTGTCAATGATCAAATACAAACCTACCTGGTTCGGGAACTAACTGAATGGCAACATTACCACTGTACAACATCATTACCACCTCAGGGTGTCATCATCGGCTCCTCTCCTTCTATGCTGCACGAAGCCCAGCTTTCTCTCTGCCGGTACCATCGCAGACTCCTGGCTTCTTCTTGCTCAGCTTTCCAGATGGGATCTTGGAGCCGATCAGCTGCCGTTCTTGGATCTTGGAGCTGGTCTTGTTTGGATCTTTTACGAGGTCTTCTGCATTTTCGCAGATTGAGCTCTAGCTAGATTGACACCCATAGCTGACCCATGTTGTTCATAAGCTGTTCATACCGTTGTCGAGATTCTGGCCAAAAAGGCTCTGAGTGTCTTGTGTGTCAAAGATTCTCGAATCAGGAGAACATATATTTAGTGAATTTACAATTGACAAAGCCTGACAATGATGTTATCATCGGGTCGCAGTACCGGTATGACAGGCTGCATTGGGGTGGAAGGAAAGTGCCTTTATGTGACAAGCACAACTTCTGGAATTTTTCAATCAGAATTCTTGCAAGCTGGTCTAGTAAGAAGAGAGGTGCAACAGCTTGTGAACCAAGGCACCGTTTTGCATTATCATTCATCACTGCAAATGCTCCCCTCCAATCTTCCAACCGAGAGCTCCAAAGTTCCTTTGTCCGAGCCTCACTTTGTCATGAGAATGCACCAAAGATTTACCGCTATTACAGAGCTCTTTCCAGCCACACAATCTACATACATGTCATTGTTACGTACACGGTCTATTGCAGAACTGAATACTGTGCTTTACATACCTTGTCCAAACTACATTTGTTAAAAGAAATACCTTTATTATAAGATACTATGAGTTTTGTGCTGCAGTAAGTCTGAGTACATGTACAAGTAGGTACCGGTTTATATGATAGCACAAACAACTTCACATTGAACCACTCTGAACTTATATCGAAGGTACTCATGATCGTTATTTGTGTACCCTAAAAGTATGAATGCTTCAGCTTGGCTGGGCATAGGAGGTACCTGTTCTGTGGTGTTTTGAAACAACTTGGCTATGCGAAGCTGTCAATCCGCAATCAAATCCTTCGGCTCATCTGGAAAATTGACGTATACAACACATGTCTTGATCTCTTGTGTGCAAACAAAAAGAGAAGCTCGAGAAAGTACTAGCTAGTTTGGTATCTTTATTAGTTTCCAGAAGTCTTATCTCAGCCATGCTAGCTAGCTAGCTAGTTTCCAGAGTGTCAAATCTCATCCTTGTTTGGTACCGGTACTAGTATATCTTAGATGCAAGTGAAGAGTGGGTAGCTACCGTGGTGACAAGCCGCTTTGGAATGGTTCGGCTTCCAAAGTTCCGGCAGAGTTTGAAGGGGTATCCTCCGCAAAAATTTGGGATCGTGGCAGATTGAGAATGCCTTGCATTTTATTTCTCGCAAGGGTTGACCCAACTCCTCCCCACGGAAAAAGACAAGAAACGAGCTCGTTCCAAGAGTTTTGCCACATAGCTTCGCAGCTGGTTGTAGTGGATGTTGTTATTACAACCATAGTCTACTATTGACCAACCGCTCGGAGAGGAGGGAGTAGCTGTCCCAGAGAGAGGCACAACCAGGTTCATTGAGTTCATTTTATTTCATTCAGTTCAGTTCACCTCAGTTCGGGTATATACCGGTACCAGTGGTATAGAGTTGCTGTAGAAGGTATCTTTTGTGATGAAGATGATGAAGCCCATGCCAATGCCCATGAGACCCCGACTGCCTCCGAGCAGCAGCATGCTCAGTCTGGCCTCCAAAGCTAACCCTGTCATCTCCAAGGAACTAGCCGATGTCGCCTGTGATTCCCAGTGCAGCCATACTCATCACCACGAGGACAAGGACCACAACCAGAAGAAACGACCTCATGATCAGGAACCTGAACCTACTAGTGCCGGTACTACTACTAGTACGAGTAGTAGTACATGTACCGGTAGTACCGGTACTCCTCCTGTCAGCTTCAGTGGCCTGAACAAGGCAGAGGAGACAATGTCATGCAGTGGCAGTACGAGTATGAGCGAAGTGAAGAAAGTACAGACACATCATGTAGATCCCCTGATCCCGTGTACCTCCACTCACCTGTTGTCCTATAGCCTAGAAGAGCACACTCCGATACCCCTTATGGAACAACCACAACCGCAGTGGCACGGGGCATCCTTTTCCAGTTTGGATTTCCTAGAGTTTGACGACGATCAGCCGGAATTGATGGATCTTCAGGAAAGTTTTACCACCATATGCAGCCAGGTCGATCCCTCCCTGCTCATCACCACGCAAGAGCAAGGAGTGGCCAAGTCACTGCAAGGCACAACTACTAGTATGCATGATATGATGATGAGCACTTCTGAGCATGAGACTAGCATTACCAGTGCCAGCGGTAACACAATGTTGCATCAGACCTGCCTGCTCTTTCCTCAAAGTGCTCCCGTCGTCCGAACAGCTCTCTTGGAGTGTCCCCCAGCCGCACTCATTCCGAGCCAAGTGCCACTCAATGGGTACACCTTCCCCTTGCACATTGCCATTTCCCACGCCGCAAACCTTCCCGTCGTACAAATGTTGGCACAGGCGGGACCTTGTATTCTCCTGCAACAGGACGGTCCACTCGGTTTGACGCCCTTGGCAGTGGCACTGCACTGGATATTGCAAAACAAGACATCCGCATCCACTAGAATGATGAGAAACGTCATGGATGTTCTACGATTCCTCCTAAGTGCACAACCCAAAGCCGCCGGAATCCCCTGTGGGCCCCCTCAAGACTTGCCCCTGCACATGGCCTGTCGCTATCATCCGGCTACGCCCTTGCAACTCGAAATTGTCGAAGCCCTCATTCCGGCCAATACCGGAGCACTCGTGCTCGTCAATCGACAAGGTCTCACGCCCATGGACTTGTTGTTGCAACAACAGCAACGCGATGCTCAAGACAACGAATACCACTTTCGGGTACTCTCCTGTCTCAAGTTTGCCGCCAACATGACGCGTCCTTCGCTCCCGACGCTCTGTAGCAGTGCTCCGGCCAAGAGACACAAAATGTCCTTGTGTTGAATTGATTCGATTGATCATTCGATTCGATTCCTTATACGGGACATTTGATTTTTGATTCTTTTTTGCTCCAACCATCCATCCATCCATCTGATTTTTTGATTCTTGAGAGGGAAGGTCCCATGCTAGCTAGCTAGAGTTCCGTAGTGCGTGCGAGAAACTCGCTCTGCCTGTAACGTTTATTTATATAATTGTAACGATATTGTTCGCTTGTTAGTTTTAGATACAGTGTACCAACCACACAACAAAGGAGTTCGAATGAATCGTTGACTCTCGAGTCGAGTCCTGGCTTCTTTGGCCAAGGGCGGCATTGAGACTCACCTGGATCCCCGTGATCTCGTTTCTTGCTCATCTGCTGGTACGAAGAGCAAGCAGCTTGAAGTTGCACGAAGGTTTAGCTTGCAGACGAAGACTCACTCGTCGACAGAAAGAAAAAGGCCCCATGAGTCGAGATCGTATTGTTGGTTGAAGGAAACGTTCAAGGAGTTAAGCAAAAGATGGCAGCAATCATTCGCTTTGCTTGGATGGTTAGTTGCACTACCAATGGCCACCTATCGATACCGTTGAACTGGTCAATGGACGTCTATCGATACGGTTGAACTGGTCAAGAACGCACCTTCTGTCTACTGTATTGAAGATAGATAGCCAAGCTACCGTAGCCAGGCTGTAGCCGGCTATAGCCAGTTGTAATTGCACTTACGAATGCCTTCAAGACTGGCAACAGACATGAAATGCCCAGCCACTCGACCTCGAAGCAATCAAGTTTCTCGTATTATTGGCTTGTTTGCTTATCATCATTGGAGGAATCGCACACAGTACGGTACCGTGTTTCATTTCTGGCTCGACACATACATGCTGAACGAATATGTCCTCGGGGGAGCAGTTCGTCCAGTTCCGATGGGGCAACGCCTCGTCATTGACAATGGGCTTCAAGAGGAGAGACAGCAAAGAAAATCACAACTTCTTGTCGTGTCGGCAACACAAACAAAAACATCGTCAGCAGCTTGTGTTCTTGTAGGAACACAAATGCGAGGCGGCAACAGCTTCAATGCGAAGGGCCCTTGGCGGATCAGTGTCGGGCATCTACCAAGTATGCCAGCCAGATAGCAGGTGCAGAGGATGCCACTGCTGCCACCTCGTACCAGCTACCGTATCACATGCACTACTATCCTCGTTCCGATAAGCCGCCCTTCAACCAAGACCACCCGAAACGCACAACAAGAAGGGAAAGACTCGACTCGGCTGATCTCAATGCTGCTGGACGTCTGGACCCGAAGCTTGAAAATTTCGAAAGGCAACGAGAACAACAATGACAATTCGAAACAAGCAACTGGAACGGAATAGGTTCAACCCGATTTGGGGGGGGAGGCGTTATGAGCTTAGCTACGATTCCTTGGCGTCTTCAGGTCCTGGCATGCAGACTACCAAGGAACATTCCTGTTCTCGGTAGTTTCAAATTGCCTTCCCAAACTGCAGGAAAGGAGCAGACAACGAGAACTAGCTAGCTACCAGGTAACTCTCTCCGCCCCAATGTTTGTGGGGGTCATTGGTTTAGGGTAGCGGCACGGTGGACAGTTGTACTCAGAGTACTAGTACCGTAGCCTTAAAATAGAATTCTATTATAAGAGCTAGGTATTAGCTTCGTGAACTTTTGGCGAGCACACGCAAGGGCAATCGGATCGGCACCGGCCAAGCAAGAAAATGATTACTTCGTTGTAGTGTATGCTCAGCCAAGGGAAGACGCCTCCTGCCATCGGTACCGTACTAGCTAGAGTATGCATATGCATATATGCATATGGACTGTGGCTGCCTGGTGGGAAGCCCAGCCCAAGCCCAGCCCAGCCCAAGCCCAGCCCATTCATAGAACCTGCATAGTGAAGCCAACGAGAAGCAGCATGGATGATGTGACAGATTACTCCAAGAGGAAGCAGCTTGCAGATATGTCCCCGCCTATTTTCAGAAAGGATCCTTCTTGCATCCAGCCACCGCCTTCATGTTGATGAGAACGAGGGTACGACAAATTACAACGAGAACCAGCCCTATGTGAACTGCATCTTTCTTGAAGGAGACCAACTGCCTCCTTTGTCGTAATACCAGAAAGTGGCAAGCTGTGATTCTCATTGCTCTCAGCGCATTTTTATCGAAAAACGACTTCAAATAATGCGAAGTATGAGTGCCATTAGCGAAGCAAAAGAGCAGCCAGCCTGAGCTGGCAACTCCACCTTGCCATGTGAATTTTGTTTTGTGGAAGAAAGTTGGTTTACACGTACGGTAGTTTGGCATGTCTTGTTTGGAAAAAGAAGAAACCAGAGATAGACAGGGAGCTACGAGGCAGTAGGTAACACGCAGGTACTGGTTTGCACCTCTAGCTAGAGAGCAACGATTGGTAAGTGAGTTTGTTTGTTTCTTCCTCTTGACCTTGTTGTCGCCTTGGAGCCACCGAGCGATCTGCAAGCTAGCTAGCTAGCTAGCTAGTCAGAAGGATTGACTACGGTATATTATGTAAGGGTAGCTAATGACTCTGTCTAATATAAAGTTTAGCAATCTGCGTACATGTATGTGAGTGAGTCAAGCTTGATCTACTCGTTCTAGAGGTGGTGGCTGGCATGATCAGATTCGATTCGAAAGTCTTTTTGGGTCAGGGCAAGAACTGCAGGAATGGAAACCTTGGTTTGGAAGTTGGTACTGTTTGACGGAAGCCCTTCTTGGAGGAAGTCTTGCGACGGTATGTAGGTGGAGAAGTGTCAATGGTAGTGATGCTGGCAGTGGATCCAGTCTCTGATCTTGGAGTGGTGGACGCGGCCTCTTGGCGTTGTCCTCTCCTTGGGTAGGCGCAGTTTACTGTTGAAACTCGCCTGGGGGCTCTCTTCAAGCTTGGTAGCAATACTGTTCCAGCAGGCAGATTCACGCTTCTTCTGGGCAGGATAGGGCTGCAATCCAGGGACTTTCGTTCTCTGGTGGAAGCAGGATCACTGCTCCTGACGGACAGTCTGAAAGGATCCTCCACTTGTCTTCGGACCATTTGCAAGGGGTTGGTGTCTTCATCTTCGTCGTCAGTGGAGTCGTCGTCTCTGATGAGAGATGAGAGTCTCTTGGGGGCCCTGGGAGGGACCACAGCTGTGGTGGATGAAGTCTTGTGGTTGGTAGAAACACAACTGATCCATCGGTTTGAGGACGACGAGCCTGAATCCTCTGATGAGGAGAGTGATCGAACAGAGCTTTGGCAGCTCAGGCTTTCGTTGTCATCCAAATCTTGAAGTTCCTCTCTGTACTCACCGGCACCGGCACTCTTCAGGTTGAACGAAGATGGGATGATGACAAACAAGGGAATGTTATTGGACATCATGGTCAAGCATGAAGTGTCGCTGAGCCAGAAATGCTGAATGCTGAGCAGTGTTTGATTTGATGGAGAAAAGTAAATGAGAGCTTTCGAGTGGTTTGTGGTAGAAAAATGGAATGGAAATTGAAAGAGGCTCCAAGGTCAGGTTGGAGGGAGAGGGCAGGTTCAGTTCCCAAGAACGAAGGTTGGGAAGATTTTCGACGTACGTCGTACCGGTACACGGTGTCGCTCACAGGGCCTGTAAGCTGGCCTGTACCGTAGTAATAGTACTGGCGCCTGAAACCTGAAAGTGAAGGCTTGAAGGCTTGGGTGGGGCACGGGACGGTCCCTACGTCCCTACCCTCACCACCCCCTTACCTTAGCTAGGTTGTGTACCGGTACCTGCTCACACTACATATTATACACTTTCTAGCTAGCAATAGGAAGTGGTTTCCCTACGCACATGTTATGGTCTCAAAGGTTAACAAAATAATGACATAACAGAGCGCAAATAACAGTCACTATGAATTCGGTTACAATGTCATAGCTATGTCATGCAGTTCAGCAGAGACAATTTACTAGGTCCTTGCTTTATCGATTTAAGCGTTGGGTCCATGAGGAACAATGAGTTCCATCAAAGTACCGCTAAGTTGCAGGGAAGAAGGATTCATGAGCTGATCATTCACAAAGATCAATCGCATAAGAACGCAAAGCAAAAAGCCCTTATCAATTGATTTCTTCAGACCAGAACCAATCCTCTTGTAGGAATTCGCAAGTCCCCCTGTTTTAGAAAGGTCGATCTTGGATTTCGAGTTTAACCGCCTCTCCAACTGTTCAAGCCAACCCATCTCTAACAAAGTTTGGTCTGGGCTTAAGTGAGATCAGTCATTAAAAGCCGAGAAAGGAGGGCTGACGAATTTATGAATTTATCACGATACTCACCTCTTACAAGACGCCAGAACCCCTTAAATAATTCCAATCTGAGATCACCAAGAAAAGAAGCTGTGGGAGCCCTATTTACAGAAGTTGAGTCGATAAGAAGATAGTTTACTCGAATTAGCTCTCGAATTCAAGCTCTTATAGCCAGAGCCACCGCCTCAAGCTCTACTACTCGAGTAGCTATGTAGCTATGCATAGGCTTGCTTATCAAGTCCTCTTGTCCTCTTACTCACTCGGGGAAGCAATAAATACTAGTAATGCTAAAAGCCTTCGATGTCTTTGCAATGGTTCACCGTCTCATTTAGCAACTGAGGAGGAGGCCTGTTGTGTCCAGTCGTCTCCGACGATCCAGGAGCGTCGATCAAACTTGGATTCGGTCCCACATCCTCACAACAATGCTATTTGCGGGATCCCTTGGATCCTCGTCATCCTCCTGTATGCAGATGCGCACTATCCCAGCGCAACGGCTGATGCATCGCTCCATTCCAATTCTTCCTTGGGTCTTACAAGTGCGTGTCACTGCCAGTCTGGGTACCGGTAGCATAGCTCATACTCAGTAGCATAGACCAACTGATAGTAGACCAACCCACCCTACTACTAGCTAGCTAGCCTAATGGAAATCTTGGTTGATAATTTGGAGGAAGCAAAAAACAAATGTCTAAATTTCTAATCTTGTGGTCGCTAAATGCTCGGCAGGTTGCATACGCTATTGACGTTAGTGTTGCCATCACAGCTTCTGATGTCTATTCCGATGGCAGTTCAACAGAATCCAATGACATTCATTTATGCCATTTACGCGACATGAACGAAATTGGAAGGGAAGTGGGCCAATTGCCCATCTATTGCCTTGTGTCTGTTAAAGGGAAAGTCAACCTTAGCTCTTGAAGCAACCAAGTGGTTACCAGTTTACCAGATCAGCTGTTTGGAACTCTGTAGAAACAATCATCGGTACTCCGAGTGCTCGAGTACATACCGGTACTGTAGCTTTCGAGTAGACTAGTACAGGTACCTGGCACTCCTAGTACCCGGTACCGGTACACCTTTCGTGGGGTGGGTCAATCTTGCAACCGGTTACATCTTGGTTTCGCAGGCGTGTAGCCCAGCAGCTATCGCTACGATACTGGCTGATAAGGCACGGTAGCAGCTCCTACCAGTGGGCCAGCAGCAAACAGAAGCTGTGCTCCGAGTCTTCCGCACAAACCGCAACAGGAATACCTTGAAGCTGCATGGCTGGCTGCATGGCTGGCTGCATGCTTTAATTAAATGACTGCATGAAGTTGGTGGTCTGAAGGAGGCAGGTCGAAGGTTCATGTCCGATTCCTCCTGAAATAAATGTTCAAGCTGACAAGTCAGTGCTGGATGTCTGCTTGCTGCTTGCTATCGGGACACGTAAGGTACGTGTACGGTAGGTTTCTGCGTGCCACGAAGCATCAGGACCGTTGACATGGTGTGTAAGGCACGATGTTGGTTTGCTTCAATGGTGTAAAAGCGGAAGGAGCGAAACTCTAGTAGTTTGATGGAGCCTGCATGACTAACATGTAACTGAAGTAGCCAAATGCTCAGCTTGAAAGCTGCTGCCTTTAGTCAGCTTGCTTGGGGGGTAAGTTTGGGCTCTAAAGCTACTAGAAAGGTACAGTTGCAATCTTAAAAGTTATCTCTTCATTACATCTTAATTAGTAACGTTATCAATTCCATTGGCAATGGCAGGCAGAGGAGCCTTGCCTTTTCGATGTGGAGCGATGGTCCAACTCTTTGTGTTTACATCCATCTATAGTATAGTATGATAGATAGTAGGACAGACCAGCCAGCCAGTGAACTGACTGGAGAGGAGACTGGTGGCAATGATACTACTCAGTACTAGGACTCAAGGGTCCTGGCTGAAATTTCTTGATTCAGTTGCCAGACACCACCGCGGTTCTAGCTAGTATATGAGGAGCGATGAGAAAATCAGAACAGCTCTTGGTGGTGGTCTCATTATTATTAAGCTGCCATTGCAATTGCCAAGGCAGATCGACTGGGACGAGGCAGTGGACGTCTGACGAGCTGTGCTGGTTCTGACTTGCGACGCCTGGAGGGTTCATCTGCTGCAGATGACCTTGGGACATTCAATGACAGGTTTTCCTTTTCGTGCTCTTCTGTAGTAGTGTCGCTGCCACTGGTACTCATAGTAGCAATGAGACTGCCAGCAGCCGCAGAAAAAGCGCGCAGCGACGGCAGCATGGGTCCATGGCCTGCACTACGAGCCGGCTTCGAACTCCGTCTGGGTAGCCTGGGACTAAAGTCGGACTTGGCTTTTCGCAGGGGTGGTGGTTGAGGGATCCCGTCTTGTTGAGCATCCGTGATGTGGAGGTCTTGAAGGAGGTTCATGTCTTGAGGGTCAAAGGTCCTCTGAGAGCAATGTCTCTGAGGCCGCCTGGGTGGAGCACTTGTGGTAGGGGCATCTTGGTCTCTGGTACTGCAGCTCAGCCATCGAGTGGAAGCGGAAGAAGAGAGAGACCACGCAGATTCTGACAGACTATCAGAGTCATCAGCAATGTTGCGTCTTCCAATCTGAGATGCAAAGTCGCTGGGGATCACAATAAACAAAGGAATGCCTGTCATGGTTATCTTGGATCTTGTACTTGTAGTGGATGTGACTACACGCTACCGGTATGGTTCTTGGATGTTGGATGCAATGTACTAGTACTTGTTTTGCTAAATGGGTTTGGATTTGTGAGAATTTATGAGTTTTGTCACCTACAGCGATGAAGTTGTGTCGCTTGGAGATCCTTGAAGCAAGCACGCAAGCACCTCAATCCTCAATCACTTCTGCTTACTAGCTAGCTAGCTAGATATCTGGTAGCTAGTAGGAGCAATACGGTAGGTGAGCTACTTGCTTCTTCTTCTTTCAATCAAGGAGAGTTGCCACGGGGCGCATTGCTCACGGAGAGACAGAAATCATCGGGTCATCTTACCGTTGCGAGATCCGTTGGAGTATGGAGAGACATACAGGGTAAAGAGGGTAGATAAGACCATTGCCACAGGTTCTCCACAGTTCAACTTGAGGCTTCGTTTTCAAATCTATGAGCCAACTTGATTGGTCCATGTCATATTCTTTGGTAAACATGTGGGATAGCACATGATTCCAGGCGTTCGTCTTAGGGGAAGGCTTCTTAATAAGTTCAAACATTACATACCAAGAAAACTTAAATCGACGCATACCCTTCTTCTTATGAACTGGAAACCTTCAGCCCTTGAATTAGGCGACACATGCCCCACATGTCTTTCTGCAACCAGGGCTATTTGTCCCGGCAGGGTTTCTACAGGGAGTGGTTGCTTCGGCGGGCAAGCTGGGCGAGCAGGCGGGCAAGGGGGAAGGGCTTTGCGAAGGTTCGATCAACAGCCCGAAGAAGGAAGGGGGCTGTTATTACTTCTCTCTCAAGCCCCCTTGAGTTCCCCCCCTTCCACCACAATGTCATCGCCACCGACTATCCTGTCAACGCAATGCTGATGACACAAAGCTTCTAAAGTGTTCGATCCAATTTGCACGATAGCACTACCCAGCTTCCATCCTCTACATCCAGTACCAACCTCGACATATGATGGCAGGCTGAGGTGTATCTACTTGGCATTCGTTGCTTTTCGAAGTTTGTCAGATCTCCGCTCCGAACCAAAACGGATCCTGAAAGTCTTTTGACATTGCTATTGTAGTATCCTTCGTCGTCTCCTTTCTTGAAACTCTTTCTCACCTCTAGGTATCGTTCGTCTTGATCAATACAGCATGATAAGTGGAGCTTAAGCAACACGATTCGATTCACACCAACGTCACGATGCGTGGCCAGCAACACAATAGGGTGTCATTGCTTCGTGGCTTCATCTCACATCATGTCAAAACCTCTAGCTAGAGGTCTTGAGTAAAACAAACGTGGCCTGCTTCATGGTTACGGCTACGGCTTTATCTCACACGAGTCCCAAAGTGCTCCACTAGAGTCTTCCAATTCCTCGGCTTGGAACTCGCCGTCGCTCCGAATGCATCCAATGGATGATGATGGCAGTCCTAGCTAGCCAACAGCCATCTTTGCCATATCTGATATTCTGGTGTGGCTGCATGCTCCAAAGCTACAGTCTCTCTGCTCAGTCGTTGCGTTGACGTACTACTATACGTACTGTTGTGTTTCAAGGAAAGCATCTATTCTTATGTCTTTGTTTATTGATTGTGTCTGATGTTGTTCAAAAGTGCGTGACTTGTCAGCCTCTCCTCGACCTGACAAGCATCCAAGCAACAGCTAGTCTTGACGCTGCTAAGGAGGCTCTTGAAACCTTGGGAACGGTCTTTGCTCCATTGGCGGACCCGGATTAGAGTCCAAGAGTTGGTATAGTTCTTCGTTGAGGGTTGCAAAAACGCCTGCAAGGGCTTGCTTGGCGTCACGAGATGGCAATGCAATCTTGTAGGAATTATCATTGCTGTTGGAACGCCTCAAGCTGCCTGGCACGGTGCGCCCGAGAAAGCTTTGGATGCGCTCCTGTGTCTTTTCCGGATGAAACCGAAGCTCGTCGTAACTCAAAACGAGAATCTGGCTGCGATCAAACAGTTCGAACCACTTGCGCAAGTGGGTAGCGTAGAGGCTATGTCGGGTAGATCGACCGGGTCCAGTTTCTCGTTCCAGGGCAGGGAGAGACCGTTCCATGACGAAGTCGTCAAATGACATGACAGAGCCGTCGTCTTTCACGGCTTGGTTGTGCCAATCATTCCTCTCAGATGACGGCAATCGACGACAATCAAATGCCAAGTGATTATACAAGGAGAGCTCTCGGGAGACTGGCTCGCGAAGAATTACAATGATCTTGACTTTCTTAACCTGTTGACCTCCTGCCGATTCGTAAGTTGCGCGAACTCGGTCGGCAAAGGGCAATGTGTCTGGAGTAGCATCCAGGGCGGTGCTTTGGAGATCCATGGGTGTTGTGTTGTCGGATTGAAATCGCTTGGCATAGAATTCTGCACCCTGATGATAGCGATGATCTGTGTCGAAGAAGTGGACCTCCTTGCTGTAAAACCATGGTTCCTTTTCAAATACTAGTGGTCTCTGGAACCCTCCCTCAAACAACCAATCGGCAACGGCGGAGGTACCTGCCTTTTGGGCTCCAATCAGCTGAACGGCAGGCAACGGAGTCGGGGCTGGTGAAGGTCTGGAAGGATACTCGGGCTCCATCATGATCTCTTCAACGATGTAGAAGGATTGATTCTGGATAGTGATGCACTGTTTGGTGCAGACAAACGTTGCGGTGCAGTAGTGCGGAGGTAGAAACTTGGTGAAAATTTCAGTGGCGTTCTGATTGGTCCCCGCAGAAGAAATGGGAAATGCCAGGTTCCAATCATTTAGGTTCTCTTGGGCCGTTCAGGCGCCGTAGCATGGAAAGCAAGGAATACAAATGTGTCAATCAGTGCAGATACCGTAGGCAACTGGCCCCGTACTTCGAAATTTTGGTGCAGTGCGGAGGTAGAAATTTTGGTGAAAATTCTGGTTATAGTTCTGGTTGGTCCCTGCAGAAGAAACGGGAAATGGGTGTTTCCAGGAATAAGCGGCTTGATTTAGTTGCCAACCGCTGGTCATTGCATGGGAAGCGACGAAGACGAAACGTGTCATCTCCCGCTGGCCATGCGGAGTTCCCAAAGCAGTCTTGGCCTTCTGTTATGTGAAGCTTCGACCGCTCAACCGAAGTGGACGCATTTCTTGGCTGAGCTCCCTGTGCATGCAGCTGACCATGAGTGAATCTCTCCAGGGCAACAAGCAACGTGTGTGTATTGTCAATGTTGGGCTCTATCGTTCTGGTACGACGTATCTCGCTGAAGCATCCAAAAGCCTTGGTTTGAAGCCCTACCGCACATTTCCCGAGCTGACGTCCGATGAGCAGAAGAAAATCCTTCAAGACCCCAAGAAGGCAGTACTCGACTGGTTTTCCAACGATGGACTGAATCAGATCATTCATCTTGCAACAGAGTATGATCTTTTGTGCGATGGTTGGGTGGCACTGCTATCTTTTTTGCCGCCGTCCTTGATCAATAGTCTCAAGGCCAAAGCCCAAGACTCTGGTGTCTCTTTGGAACTCGTCGCTTCCACAAGAGACGTGGAAAGCACCGTCAAGTCTGAATTGCACCATTGGGTAATTCATGATCTGGAGAAAAGGGCAGCTCTGAACCCAACCGAGAGAACGAGTCTCGAGAATCTCCTTCGTGAACGAGCCAAGATGCACTATCGATCAGTGCAATGCCTTTGCCAGCTGGGCATGCTAAAGCTCCTCCCTCTTGAGGACGGCTTGGAAGATGAGTGGCCAAAAGTTTTGTCTCCGGTTGATAAGGGATTTGTTGAGGAAGATTGGGCCAGTGCCCTGCGCAGCACTGAGAAGCAGAATGTCTCCCCGCCTCTCCCAGTTGAAGGTATCTTACTAACTCTTCGTTTTGGAAGTGATCCAGAGGCAGTCGAGAAGATTGCTTCTATTGAAAGGCTTCTAGATCAGATCGAAGAAGACAGTCTCTGTCAATATTTGGTCGTTTTGGCTGTCGATAACGACGAAGCAAACGGCGACGCAGCGGGTGACCTCATCAAGCATCTCAAATCTCGAGAGAGGAAGAGTCGCCAACTCCAGAAGGTCCACACAATCACAAACCCACCAAGAAACAGTCAGGAGCCGTTTCCCATTTGCTCGATCTGGAACGAAATGGCCACAGTTGCCTGGGCAAGCGGTGCTGACTGGGTTGAGTTGCTAGGAGATGATATTGGCATTGACTGCCCTTTCCACTACCGAGCATTCTACCGGGCGTTCCTTGACATTTCAGAGCGTCTCATGGTCCCGTTTGGGTTCGGATGCCCCTGGTGGAATGACCGTACCTTCCCCGGCTTTCCTAGCTTTCCCTGTGTTGGAAAGACTCACCAGAAAATCTTCGGTGGACTCATCCCGAAACAGCGAGGCTCCAGCTTCATAAACCAAGACTTGGATCCTTACCTTCATCGCATGTACCAAAAGTCCACGGGCGCACCTTGCGTGAAAGAAGCGGTGCTCTCTAATCGATCAGGAGGGAACATCAGTTCAAACACGAACGCCCGCTACGAGCGCATCTGTGCCAAAGGTTCTTGGCAAGATTTCGCCGTGGATGATCTTGAGAAGATACGCCAGCACCTTCCCATTGGGGTCACTGAGTGCTTCCTCCTCGATGTTGTCGTTCCCTCGTATCGAGTCCGATTGGATTATCTGGAAAGTATCTGCTCTCTCAGGGTCCCGGAGTTCATCCAAAGCCTCTTTATTATCATTGTCGACAACCGTAGTGCTCTTGTACGCGAGGCTGCAGTCATCGCCAAGGTTGATGTTGACGACATGACTTGAACCGAAGCGAAAGAATCCTCGAAGAATACCTGTCCAAGTCAGGGAACACTGTTCGTGTTCGCTGCAACGAGAAAAATGTTGGAGCCTCAGCAAGCCGCAATCGTGGCCTTGATGAGAGCGCCGCGGAGTTCGTTCTGAATCTCGATGACGATTTGATCCCCAATCCCGACTTGTTGGAGCAGTACGGTCGTGCATTGCAGAATTTGGATGATGATGTCGTAGGTCTCATTGGCCTCGTGCGGTTTCCTCGAAGTCCAACATTGCCGCTTCGACATGCTGCTGTCCTAATGAGCTATCTGACATTCATGTTCGAGATTGCGGAACAGGGCGGCATGTACCAGCCGGCTACCCCAGCCTGGGGTGTTACGGCCAACATCTTGTTCCGTCGAACCCGCATTCGTTTCGACTTGGTAAGGCGAGTGGCGAGTCGAGTCACAGTGCTCGCTTCTTTTTGACATCGGAGGCACACTTGCCCCTTTGTCACATGACGGCCTATTTTCAAAGTTGGATGTGCTGCATTGCACGTCTTCGATTGGATTTTCTGCGTTCAGACTCACCGTAATGATTCCATCTCATTGCTGTCACGATGTAGGCGTATGCCAAGACTGGTGGAGGTGAAGATGTTGACTTCAGTTTGCGTGTCTCAGAGGCAAGCGGCGGGGGCCACCTCGTGCCCGTACCTGAAGCGTGTGTGGTCCATCCATTCTGGCCCGGTTCAGTTCTCGCCCTGGCTAGCCATTTCTTTAATTGGGCCATTGGTGACGGCGCCCTCTTCAGCCGCTTTCCCCGGTACCGTTACTGGTCATTTCCCAATCTTCCCGAGAGTCTCTTCCTTTCTCTGCCGCTGTTTCTCTGGTTAGGACCATTGCGTCTGTTCACGGTAATCCCATACCTATTGGTGGCAGATTTTGCTGTGGACTTTTGTAACCAGACCGAGTTCAATCACCGATGTCTCCTTCTCGATCGGGGCCAGACACTGGTGTCCAAGCGCAGCTACGTCTTTTACTTTGCTGCCCATGTGTTGGGCAACATCTACGTGGTTGTCCTCGAAAGTGGGCGCCTTTGGGGCCACATCTGCCGCAATGAACTCTTGACGACTGGACTTTTCCGACGATTTGATTGGCACTGTGGTCGATTGCAGGCAGCGCCGAGCAAGTTTCGCCAGCGCGAAGCCGCGAAGTTTGGCCTCTTTGTCAGCGTCCTAGTGTACAATTTGGTTGCATCCTCGAAGTCGAGCATCTGAGTTTTTTTTTTGTCCAAGCACGCAATATAGTTAGTGGTTCCAGGTACTAATAGGAGTTAAGTTTCATTGAGAGGTTTTGTTGTTGCGAGTGGAAGTGTCCCTCGGACGCGTGAGCGCCTTGTTCCCCGTCATTCCACTCCCAATCTCCTGCGACGCAATCGCTGGCTACTCGACGGCTATATCAGCTGGCAGGACACCAGTACTGACGCAATCCCGGCGTCGTCGCTGAGATTCGTGTCTCTTGCAGTAGTCCCCCTTGCTTTTTCCGAGTGAGCACGGCTTGCCATCAACATTCCTGCAGAAGACACGCCCTTCTCGAGAGGCTTGCTTCATGTGCTCTGGCTTGTGTCGCGCGGAACAGAATCCGTACGGACCCACTGCCTGGCACCTGATGCAATTAGCCCGAAGGTCATCACATGCCTTATTATTCGTCGTCGTCGTTGTTGGGTTGCTCTGTGGATTGTGGTTTGTCGCTCCCTGGCTTGCCGGTGGGATACTGTTGTTTCCACCCGGAAGGACACTGCCAGCTGGAGCACAAAATGGCGACATTGAAATGTTCACGCCAGAGGCAGACTTTGCAAAAGCGGCCGAGGATGCCTCTTGGATCTGACTTGACCGAGCATCCTCTTTCTTGGCTTGAGTTTCATGATGATTGGTGTTGGTGGAGTATCCACCGCCGTGTAGTTTCTGTCGCTTGGAAGGTGTTTGATCGTTCTTGGCAGATCGATTTGTTGCGTTTGACAGTGGTCTTCTGGCCCTGAGCACTTTTCGTCGTTTTGGAACAGCCGCGGGGATTCCCTCTGTGGTATCCATGGGTATGGAGGAAGAAGCAGATTTCCAGCCCTTTGAGACCAAGTAGCGGTCAAGGTCCATGGCGACGGATCGGTCCGAGGCAATGGAGGCACCAATGTTCAAAGAACACAATACAGTTTCAAGCGCGCACCTCGATTGGGACGCATTCCAACCGTAGAAGAAGCATCGACCCAAGGAATTCTCCTTATGCTGCCTCCACACTCCAAAAAGACGACCTCGTTGTTCGTCTCTCTTCCAACTACATTCTCTGGCCAGATTCCTTCTGGCCCGCACAATTTCTTTGAATTGTCCAATGATATCATTTCGAGATACGCTCTCGACGGGACCGTCGAGGATAACAATGTAGCACCCCTTTAGTACGAATGGAGATGTTTCCAAGAGATTCTCGAACCGGGCATGATTGCGTGCTTGAGCCTCCATGGTTGTCACTAGTTCTCGAAGCATTTGATTCTCTCGGCGCCCACGTTCCAATGAGGCTTGAAGTTGGTGTTGATCTTGTTGTTGCATTTGTTCTAGAAACTGAACTGCAGCATCGGCGTTTCGTTTTGTTTCCGCATGACGACGTTGTTCTGCTTGCAGTTGTTCCAAGGTAGTCTTTAGTTCCACGCGGGCCGCCTGTGCTTCTCCCAATTGTTGTTGGTAAAGTTTGAGCAATTGAAGGTACCTAAGGTTACTGCTGCTGCTTGCTGTAGATTGTTGTTGGAAGTTTGGTTGATGCTGGAAGTTTGTTGATTTCTGGTGATGATAGTGGTATTCTTGCTTCTGTTCTTCTTGTTTCTGTCGCTCTTGTTCACGACGACGGCGCTCCCGTTCCGCTGCGGCTTGCTGCTGTTCTCGTCGTTGTCTTTCTGCGGCGGCTTGTTGCTCTCGCCGCAATCGTTCCTCCTGTTCTTGTTGTCGGAGTCGCTGCTGTTGGAGGAGTGCTTTGCGTCGTCGTCTGTCGTATACTCGACGAAGATTTTCATCTCGCAGAATGTCGTAGATGAAACCCAGCTGCTGAAACTTGGCCGTGGCTTGAGCTCTTTCCGACGGAGGCTGTTTGTCGGGATGCATTGCAATGGACAGCTTGAGGTACGCCCTTTTCAGTTCCTTCAGACTGCACTCTGCGGCTATACCCATAAAGACGTAGAAGTCAACGCTTGGATCATAAGGAGGAACCTCGTGGTCTAAACAATCCGCCTCGTCGTTCTCGTGGTCCTGGCGGGCGTCATGGCCTTGGTAGTGATGATGCGACATGATGTTTTGGCGTACCGGGATGCTTCGATTCGATTCGATTCTGTCTGCGATGAACAGTAATACAGTAACAACCTTTGGCTTCGACGCAAAGCTGCAAAAAAAGTGGGAGATAGAAAGCGAAAACAGGGTTGGGCTAGCTACGGCTCCAGGCTCGAGCTGTGCATTACGTTCCCGCATCACCCATAGCAATTGGTAGTGATCGCCAAAGACTGTTTGTTTCGGAAAAGAAGCCGTGCAAAGCCTGCAGACATGCGTTCCTGAACTTCATACCATGCACGGTTGAGAAATTAAGTCAGCGGAAGCTGCGATACCTCGGCAGAAGGACAGTACGAGCAGCTTCGATTTTGTTGATGCAAACGCGTGCCGACCTCCCTGGTACACTTCTACTCGAGCTCTCGTAGAAGTGTACGAGAAAAGCTGGCACGCGTTTGAATCTTTAAAACCGAAGCTGCCTGTACCGGTAGATGGAGGATCGATGGATCATTCATGCAAAGGGGAATGTCACCTCCGCCCTTTCCAACCTACCGGTACTAATACCGAAACCGTGCGGAGCTAGCCTTTTGCTCAAACCTTAAAAACTTCCACTGTTTAGTTAAGAGGATATGTTAAAAGGGGATGAGCCAAGATGTTGGTGGTATTACTGAAACAGAGAAAACCATTTGGCGTTGTCGTAGAGATTAGCTATCATAGATTAGTCTAAGTGGTGAGCCAAGATGCATTCATAGGTGGTATTACTGAAGAAACAGAGACCTGTCATAGAGACTACCGGTACTACCGGTATAAGGTGAGCCATAATTGAGGTGGAGTGCCTCAAACCAGTTCTGGACGTTTTCAATATCATCTTTCCCCTTTCCCCACCTTCGAGGTTGGCTAGTTGAAGTCCACCTTCTTCGACCACCTTCGACGACGCACGTTCAACCCCTTTTTGACGAACAGCAAACTTTCCGACCTTCCCTATTCTATTCACTGGCGTTTGGGTTCAAAAATATTCTTTCTAAAATCGGGTGGTTGGGGATACCGGTACCAGTACCAGGTACTAGTAATCACCCATGTTGGTTTTTGGCGACGCCAAATTGAATTTGCTGATCCAAGCAGCATCCCAGATGAGGCCTTTAATTAATAAGTCAGCGGGAGCTGCGATACCTCGGCAGAAAGACAAATAGAAGAAAGAGGATCATGTTTGAGATTGCATCCTTCTTTCAAGGTAGCCCTGGCAACAACACCCGACTTCGTCGTGTGTTGCCGCCCAGTATTATTCCCTCATTATAACCTTCTTTTTTATGTATGCTAGCCCTGGCGACAACACCCGACTTCGTCGTGTGTTGCCGCCCACTATCATTCCCTCATTGTAACCTTCTGTTTTATATTAAGCTAGCATTGATGTAGCCATGGGCCAACCCATAATTTACAGCTATCATTCGATCGTGTAACTCTGAATTTACAACACCTGCTGGCTTATTGTGTTTTTGTCCTGAGTGCACTAACCTTAAATTACATTGATATATTCCTACCCCTAACTTTTATTGAACCTTCAATTTCCAGTTTTGCCAGCTCACATTATCTCTATCCTTATACCCTGGCTTCACCGGAATAGGGGATCCCACAGACACAAAACAAGGGGATCCCACAGACAAAAACCAGGGGGATCCCACAGACAGAATTTTTGCCATTAAAGGGGTAGAGGAGTCAGGCAGTTAACCTGCCGAGGTTAAGGATTTTACTCCGGTTTCAGCTTCGAAAACAACGCAAGAATTGGCGACGCCAAATTGAATTTGCTGATCCAAGCAGCATGCCAGATGAGGCCTTCAAGGATTAAAAACGCAAGAATAGCACGACAACAACAACAAAACTTCCATTTGGAGCTGCCATCTTTGACCAATTTGTGCTCCTCCAAGAGCCCATTGCTGGTCTATGCTGTAATATACCATCATAGAGTAGACGATGCTCTATAGTGTGACCTAAAAGAAACATAAAATGTGTTGATCCGTATCCACAATCGGTGTCTGAAGCTGGTATTCCGAAACCGGCGCTGGTTTGTTCGAGATGCACGAGAGCAGAGCTGTAAACGAGCTCTAAAAAACAAACAAGAGCACATAAACTGCTGTGTGGTAAGAAGGAGAGTGAGCTTTGCTTGTTCTTTGTGAGCTACCGGTACAATGATGATCCGCTGCTTGTTGATGGTGGTGAGTAATCTGTTTCTATTTCGGAAAGGCAATGAAGTCATAGGATTCGCGCGCGCCCTTGCCATATCTAGTGACAACACACGACGACGCTCTCGAGAGCTCGTGGGCCCTGTATTCGAAACCCTCGCCTGGAAGTCTTTTCAGGTTGTGTGCAAGGACAAGCTCTATAACATTGCAACCTACTCCGACACGCACATCTATCATGTGATCACTCCCTCACCCACTGTGGATGACAATGTCGATGACAAGATCCCTGCTGGTTTCTGCAATGAAAAGCTCGCTCTCCACGACGGTGGGGAAACAGGAAGAACCGTCATTGTGGAAGAAGCTGGATATCAGTATGATAGAGATGAGGATAAGGATGATGTCTTCCACTTTCAGGGATCGTTCTCACTGAAAGCCATCATGCAAGCATTCCGTACTGCCAACACCATCCTGGAAGATGATCCCCAGGAGAGCATTGAGAATTCCTATGATATTTTATATAACAACTGCGCTACTTTCATTCTGAGTTTCATGGATGCTTTGGGTTTGGAGCCTGGTCAACACATTGCTCGCTACATTGCTGGAAGGCTGGCACAGAATGGAGGACACACCATTGAAATGTTGCGAGACAGCCAGGAATTTCAAGCTCTCTTGCCCCCCGAAATGATTACGGCCTTGAAGAATGATAAGCGAAACAAGGAGGAAGAAAGGGAGCTATTGCAGCTTCTCGTAGACTACTACATTCAGAATCGAGTCAAGGTGGAACCAAACGTTCTGGAATTTGAAGAGGCAACAAGTACTCCCAACACTTATATTGAAGCATCTGCAGCCGGACACATCACCTACCCCCGGAGTCTTCGCCGCTACTTGCAGGCTGCCAGTCCTTCTCAAGACAGTGCAACCTGCTCCCTTTGCTATGGAGGGGCCAGCCCAAATAGTCCCAATGGCACTGCACTGCCAGCATGGGTCGATGGCGTTGGGTACACAACCTGCGAGGATGCCGAAATGCTTACCAAGGACTTTCTCGACGGATCCACCAGTTGTACCATTAGCCAAATCTCGGGAGTAGCACACTGTGGTTGCCCCGACCTACCACCAATCAACCCCGACATTGGGTGCAACTTTTGCGGAAACGATAATCCCAGCTACAACATTGATTTTCACAAGAGAATGCCACAGTTCCTCGATGCTGGAAGCGATAGCGAGCAGTTCCTCTGTTTCGACGCGATCATGGTTGCACAGAACTATCCGTCCAGCAAATGTGAGGACTTTCTCTCCTCTGGAAGCAAGTACTGGTGTGGATGTCCCAATGCCACAAAACCACCTGCCACGTGCAACCTGTGTTTGGATGGAGCCCCAATCCCTGATCCTTCCCTGGAAGTATTGCCTGGTGGTAAAACCTGTCAGGATGTAATTGACCTGATGGAAGCCGGATTCTCGGACAACTGTGGAGCCTTTCAAGCCACAGCGGGTGTTTACTGTGGATGTGAGGCCAATATAGAGCAGGCAGCTGGTGATGTTGGGACCTATGATCTCCAGTTTCGTGATACCCCCTGCCGCATCTGCCCGAATGGGGCCTTGCTGCCAGACACTAGCCAAGTCGTCGAGATGCCATTTTCGAATAATGGGGTGCAACGAAGAATGGATACTTCCTGTGGAGAGCTCGAGTACTTTGCGAATGCCAATGACATGTGTGACGAACGTAACACGTTTAAACATGCTCCATTCTGTGGCTGCTCTGTGGAAGCCGAGGACACTGTCGGAGAAGCCAACGATCCTGCTTCTACTAATGCGACATCAGGAGCCCAGGAGGACGAATCGAAGAGTACTGCAGTCGCCCTTGGGGGCTGGCTGGTCATGATGATGACAGTTTCTGTGATCTGGATCAATTGAAGATGAATGGAGTTGATTATTGGTTGTATTTTGCTGCATGGAAAGACTGCAAAGCCAGTGTGTGGAAGTCAAGGAGAATAGTAGAGTTAATTCAAGGTCATGTCCAAATGAGACTTTCTAAACTAAGTGAACAGATTGAAGTGAAGATTGTGTCATCCTTTCATCTCTGAATAGTGAGCCTTCTCTCATCTCTTTTCATAGCAGTTAGTGAACATTTATGTAGTCTTGTTTTTGGATCCTTCAGATCACTGGTATGGTACTCGCAGTGAAGTGGTGGTGCTTCTCTTATCGTCTCCGCCAAAGACGGCATCTTCGTCAACACTAAACTCAGCATGGTAATCCAAACATGGAATGATTAGAGTTGCGGTCTGCTGATGACGAAGGGACAAAGGCAGTGGGAGACCTCGATGGCCTTGTAGGCTTGGTTGGCTGATAATCGTTCTTGAGTTTCATGGCCAACAGAACGGAGTAAAGGAGAAGCATCCCATAGTGGTCACTCAACATCAAGCACAGAGCTCCTTCGAACCCACTGATACTGGTAGCAGGATCTTCGAAGGCAACCACACCAGCAAACATCTTGCTTCTGCCTTGTTGGATTCCTTGTTAGTTTAGAATTCTTTCCTGGGTTTTCTTTGATTGTGTGCTCTGATCGAGCCAACGAGGAAAGTCGTCGGCAGGAGGAAGAAACGAAAGCTTGACACCAAAGCGTTCTTGGTTCGGAATTAACTCTGTGGATGGATGGAAGACGGAAGCAGCTTGCCCATTGGATTCGGCCTTTAGAAGGTGGCAAACTAATGTACATGCACCAGGTACTCTTTGCACCACAGTGATATCTTTCGTGTCACGCAGAATCTAGAAAGCAAACCATTCATTTTAGCGATAAGGCTAACCTCCCATGTCATACATTCACAACACGGTGACGGAAGTTGTCCTACCACATGACACTGTAGTCCACATTATTTACAGTTTTGAATTCCAGCAGGTCTAACCCCGTCGTGAGCATCAAGCGGTGGGCAATGCGCCTTTTACAGACCACAACATGACAATGTGACTCCAGGATTGCATTGCAGCGATGGCTGAAAGATCCTGGACTGTCGTTTGATTAGTAGATGTTAGTTTTCATTTCATCGATTCTCTAGTCTAGCACGGTATATCTTTTCTATTCAATTTTGTGCTATCTATAGTTTCAAAATCTTTTGTGTTGTGATTGGTTCCTCAGCAGTAAAGACATTCAAAAACTTCCTCAGCATCCAACTCTGCTTCACGTCTAACAGCTCCTTCAGTTTCCAAAGTGGACGAGATTTCTTGCATGAGTGCTTCTTTTGCAGCTTCATCGTGATTTTCTGTCTTTACTGCCGTCAAATTGACTTTCTCCTCCTCAGGTGCCGCGATCATAATGATTTCATCCAAGTCTACAGTTGTTCCAAGAACAACAAGTTCATCTACAGAGTAGACTACATTGCGATCAAGGAGATCAAACTGGAGTTGGCCAAACACTTGGATGACACGTCTTTGTCCAAGGAATACTTCCTGTTGAATTCGAAGGGGGTAATCTACAGATCCATCAAACGTTTGCTTGATCTTGAGTCGACTGTTGCGCAACTCTTCTTGGATATCGCCTCTATTCTCGTCACCCGTCATGCCCATCTCAATGAGATCATTTGCAATGTCATTGATTCTTCCCTCCATGATGGACTTGGTGTCAGCTTGATTGGTTGTGGCAATAGAAAAGTCCCAATGACCCTCAACCAGGGTAAGAACGTCCAGGGCAACGCAGTTGATGATGTCATTGGTTTCTTGTTGGATTGCCTGTTCCAAGTTTTCTTCCAACCTAATGAGATGGTCTGTTGCTTTGGCCTTGATTTCCTGGGCCTTGACTTTGAGTTGCTTTTCCAATTTTGTGTTTCTGTGGAAGATCTTCCCAAAGAAACCTCGGTTGCTTTCTTCAGATGTCTCCAACAAAGGCGGTGCATTTTGGGTAACTTGAAGAACAGTAACAAAGCTTGGCTTTGCTCGTGCAAAGCTTGTGTTGGGGAAAGCTTGCACAGCGGAAAATGTGAGACACCCGGCAGAAAAGGCAGAAGCTAGTTTCATGCTGGTATTAGATAGTTTGTGATTGTTCTTGTGGTTGGTTTGACAGTTTGAGTTGTTGTCTTTGTTGGATTGTGAGCCTTTGGAGGCAAGGAGCCAGGCGATCGAGATCCGTGCTGTTGTTGCACTGGTAACGCATACAGTCTCGTTGCCAGTTGCCAGTTGTCAGGCGCCGGCAACTGCCTCCGTCCTCCATGCTCCATGCCACATTATTTTTTGTTTTCTTTGTTCTTTGATCCATCCAGAATTCACACGTGCGTCTAAATCTATTAGCATGCAGATCTACTGGGTTGAAGGAGTTGGTTCCAAGCAGATCTCGGAGCACTCAGGCTTATTTAATAATGTCTGCAGAGTGCACCATCAAAGTCGCAGTGTCTTTGGGACCAAGCAAGAGCTCTTTGGATCCAAAATTTGGGGTCTTATTTATTTATTAATTAAAAAGCCTCTCTTTGCGTGAACGCGTGAACTGTTGGGGCTACCGGTAGCCTGTCGATGGGAGCTGGTGGGGGCGCCATGAAGCCGAAGACCTCTTTTGCTCTTCTGTGTGCATGGTCCTCTCATCCTCACAAAAGGCAATTGAATGGGAATGGGAATGGAAACTGAACTCTAGCTAGTATTTTAGTTCGTACTTTGAAACCATGAGCAGCAGAATGGAAAAGGCGGCAAATAATGAGACAGAGGAACATTCATCACTGTCCTCTGGTGTTTACGTGAGCGATGCAAATCCGACGCCCCCACGGCATCAAAATCTGTTGGCTGCGCATGATGAAGCATCAACAGATAATGTGCAGAGAATAGCAGCGCATGCTGATCATCGTACCAACTCTTCCAGTTCCGATGCTGATGCAGCCTTCGACTCCGAGCTGACAAAGGAAGCAGCTACGTGTACTACTGACGCTGGTTCTGGTCCCCGTAAATGCACGCCGGTTACGAATGTTTCCTCCATAGAAGAAGATGTGAAGAGTGCTGAACACGATTCCTACTCCCAAGAGTCCCCACATATTCCATGCACCAAAATGGGAGCTAAGGTGCACACAGTTGTGGCATGTGGCGCTGGAACAAGCCAAGGTATGTACTACTTCGCTTGCTGATGGCGGGAAGCCCAAAGTACGACGAGCCTCACTTCGAGCACAATCGCCCCCTTTGAAGATCCATTTCAATAGCCAAGGAGATGACAACTTCCCTTTCCTTGCCAGCATACCGATTTCAGCACCAGCAGCTGCCTACCCAAATGAAATCGACCTGGCGCGCAACTCGACCGGTGTCTCATCCATCACATGCCCTTTTCAAAAGAATCACAACTTTGAACTCTTTCAAGGTTCTATGTATCCTTCCTTGAGACAAATTGACGGTTCTTCAGTGAAAGCTGACGGGACCGCCGAAGCAACCGTTGTCAAAATCTCAGCAGCAACAACGACAGAGGAGAAGGCAAAGCTTGCAAATGCAGCAAGCATGCCTAGTCCCGCCACCAGCCATGGCCGTAAGCGCTGTTCTGCTGGGAGAGATCGAGCAGGATTAGCAGCTCAGCCAACCTGGGAAGACTATAAACTGGTCACGGGACACCATCCAGTTCTATCCGAAATGCTACGCACCTCCAGGCAGGATTCAAGAGATCACGACGTCGTGCGTGATCTTCCAGAACTGGCAAAAGACGACGACGTGACAGATCCCCTAGAACTGCCAAAAGACACTGCGACTTTTGCCCCATCCAGGAATAACCAAGCACCAGAACCACCGTCGACACAAGCGGGTGCCTACTCGGAAACACCTGGTCAAAATGCTGTTCGTCTAGAAAAGACTCGTGTGTATCGGAACATGACTCCTCATAATCCAACAAGTGTTGACATCCTCGAGACAGATACGCCAGCTGAACAAGCCAGCGTTCACGACGACGTTGATTTGGAAGAAGGAATGTCTGTGTCGCAAAGAGATAGAGAGATGTACAGTCAAGGGTCCGTCACACAGGAAGCAGCCGACCGGGACTTGTTGGAGGCCATACCAGTGGCTGACAATGATGCTACGGTCAGCCAAGAGCTTGGCATAGCAACACCCATGCAATCAACAGAGGGCGAGCGGTTGGAGCTGCAAAAACGTCACTTGCTTCTGCGAACTTCTGTAACTGTTTTCGTGATGCTTTTGGCAGTTGTGGGGATCACCCTCATCATACTACACAGTGTTCTTGGGAGGGAGGAAGAGAACCCAACACGGGCACCAGAACAAGATGCTGCCAATGCAACCGAATCTACAACACGGTTGGTAAAAGGTTTGCCTGATTACTCTGTGGAGGCCATCCTCAAGGATTCAACTTCCCCCCAAGCTCGAGCCAATCAGTGGCTGCTGAATGATCCGTCCCTTCACAACTACACCAAAAACCGTATCATCCAACGCTTTGCCCTGGCAACTCTCTTCTACTCGACCAATCCTCCCCACCTGTACGAAGATTTGGCACCCTCACTATCGATGACCTCCTCCTGGTCTCAAGATCGGAACTGGTTGTCGTATGACCACCATGAGTGTGAATGGTTCGGTCGTACTCAGTTTCACTGGTACCAACAAACGATCGACCTCCCGGTCACCATAGACAAACCGTGCACGGATGACGGAGCACACCACGCGCTGTGGCTGTCCGACAACAACTTGATCGGGTCATTACCTCTGGAAATCTTCGGCCTGTCTACTCTCAACAGTATTGATGTGCAAAGAAATCCTCTACTGGGCGGAAGCATTCCTTCTCAAATCGGCCTTCTGTCCAGTCTATCCCTCTTTTCCTGTGCAAACTCGTCCATGACGGGGACACTCCCAACAGAGCTTGGTCTACTAACCGATGCAAAGCAAGTTGCTCTGCATGTCATGTTTACAACAATATCTGGCCGCTTGCCTTCCGAGCTCGGGTCCGTGAGCAATCTGGAGAGGGTCATGCTGGGTTACAACCAAATCACAGGTAGTATCCCCAGTGAGATTGGCAGGGCGACGGCGATTCGCACATTGAATCTGGCTGGCAACAGGCTATCTGGGAGCCTCCCGACTGAACTTGCCCAACTCTCCGTTCTTCGCTACCTCTGGCTGCAAGACAATCAAATCTCTGGGAGTCTCGCCACCGAGTTAGGAAGGTTATCATCAGCTTGGAGCATCACTTTGCAGAATAATTTGTTATCGGGTCCTCTTCCATCAGAGCTGGGTAATCTAGAAAAGCTCTTTGAGCTGAGACTGAGAGGGAATGATCTGGCAGGAAGCATACCAGAATCCTGGACCAATCTTGTTGGTTTCAATGGTTCTTTGCAAGAACTGGATATCACAGATACTCTCCTGACTGGAAGATTCGAAGAAGAGTGGTGTGCTTTGAATGGCGGCTTTGTATTTGATTGCGTTCCAAGCATGCTTTGTGGCTGTGGAGAGTGCCAATGTAGTGATTGAATCATTGATTGATTCAGTTAAGTTAGCCAGGTGGTCATCATTATTGCCAAAACTTTGAATCCACTGCCTTTCAAGAGTACGGCAGCTTCATTGAATAATTTTAAAATCGAAATCAGACCACATACAGCAAATCCTCGAATGCCGAGGCGCCATCAACAGGCCGAGCTTTCCGATCCGCAACTGTCGTTGAAGGATGTTCCTCGAATGTTCCCTTTCTCCGACCACCGTCGCCGAGGAGAAGTCCGAGGCGGCGGTCAAGCACGCACCGCAGCTCCTGGCTAGAACTTTCGTGCCAAGAACGCACGGATGAGAGCTTTCTCACTTCACCGCTTCGCCGACGGCCGAAACAAACGACGAAAAATCCATCGTCGTCAGCTCCTTCATCCTTCCACTCCCTGAGGTCTCACAAAACATCTCCGTGCAACAGCAATATGAAACCAAAGCAACTATTGACTCGTACTCTGCCTCTCACCTATTTGAACCCATTTGTATCCAGCCGACGAACTATTAATAGTGCCACCATGACTTCTTCTCTCAACAAAACACAAAACCCTTGGACCGTGCATTCGACTTTTCGCGACGAAGTTGGCGGACAAGTGAAGCCTCATGGATTAGAGTGGCACATGGGTGGTGATTCCATACTTTATTATGCTCCTGTATCTCCTGATGCCAAGGAGATCATTGCTACCAAGGGATTGGACAATGACGAAACGAGGCAGTGGCTAGTGGAAGCACACAACCGTTGGTGCTTTGCCAAAGACGAAACGTTCAAAAAGGTGCAAGATATCGAGGAGGTCCAATGGACACCGGATGGCAACCATGTGGAAATCTTTTGGAGAGAACCAGAACTCTTGACACAGCCAGAGCAGAAATTCACCATTGCTCAGGTGAGTGGACTTGTTCGCATGGATGCATCGGCGAAGGGCGAGGAGCCTCCTTGTCAGGTCTGGATTAATGGATACTTTGCGGGGGTTCTACAGCCAAACACTGTGGACTCCATTGTGGAACAAGTGGATCGGATCCCCAGTAAGAAATTGGTCTTTCGCAAGAGCCGAGGCATCATTCGTATCGAACGCCGTTTCAAAGGTATGATCCGCGGGCAGGAGGTCTATGAGCATTGTCTTGATAACTTGTACGCCTTGGAAGATCCACAGATTGTGGACAACAACACTATCATTGGCACTGCTACCTTGCCGGATTGGATCATGGGTGGAGAATTGACAAGTCGCATCTGGGTGTCGGAGCTAGAGAATGGGAGCATTTTGTGCAAGCGTCCTCTGTACCGAGACGATGTGGGCACCTCGGACCGCACCTACTGGATGAAAAAGGGCAAAGATGACGACAAGATCGCCGTATTTAAGGAGGAAATGGCACGCATTCGATACTTGGCGACTCTGGAACATCCATTCGAGGCCCTTCGTCCTTCAGATTTCATTGTACCGATAGACGAAGAGAAGAAGGAGCCAACTGGAAGGGAGATTCAACACAAGCGCAGTAGCCGCAAGTTCTTTGGTCTTTAGCTATAGTAGAAAGGACTGCACTGGTTGCTGAGAGAGGACAAAATTTGGATCCCAAAAAGCCAAGCCCGTAGTCCTCAATTTATCTCCCACCTAGATCTAGTCCTGAGTTTTGACTGTCACTCTATTAGTATCTTCTTTTGCCTGAGCCTGTCCCTCGCTGGCTTCCATAAAGACATCGATACATGGCCCCAACTGTGAATCACCCCTTCTCCAAAATTTGAGAACTATGGCACTCGGCATCAGAACTCTGGTACTAGATATCCTAGCCTCCACGTATACAGTACGTACTCGCCAGATGTCAATAGTCAAAAGATAGAGAACGGTGGTTTAGAGCACTATAAGGCAGATTATCTACGATGGTCAAAAGATTGTTTTTGCCTACTACACGCGAGAAGCATAAAAGAGGAGATACAAAAGCGTAACACCAGAGATAGTCTATAGTAGACCAACACCACTGCAGTAACAAAGTGAGAATTACAGCAAATCGAAACAGTCAGTGAAGGAGGCAACTGAACTTTTTATCAATTTGTGTGCGACAATGATGTACCGCTGCTTGTTGTTGGTGAGCAATCTGTTTCTATTTTGGAGCGGTAGCTTACTTGTTCACAACAGACAAAATCGGTGCTCTCTCAAACTCGCAGGATTTGCCCATGCAATGAATACCGATTGTACTGTGTGCCACAATGGCGAACGAGCTCGACGGGGCCTTCGAGAACTCATAGGCCCAGCATTCGAAACCCTCGCCTGGAAGTCTTTTCAGGCTGTGTGCCAGGATAAGCTCTATACCATTGCAACGTATGCCGACACACACATCTATCATGTGATCACTCCCATGCCCACCACCGCAGATGATGCCAACAATGATGAGGACGCTGCTGGTTTCTGCAACGAAAAGCTCGTGCTCCACGATGGTGGGGAAACGGGAAGAACCATCATTGTGGAAGAAGCTGGATATCAGTCTGGTAGAGACCAGGATGAGGATGACATCTTCCACTTTCAGGGATCGTTCTCACTGAAACCCATCTTGCAAGCATTCCACAAGGCCAACACCCTCATGCAAGATGATCCCCAGGAGAGTATTAAGAATTCCTATGACATTCTCTACAACAACTGCGCTACTTTCATTCTGGGTTTCATGGATGCTTTGGGTTTGGAGCCTGATCAACCCATTGCCCAATACATTGCTGGAAGGCTGGCACTGAATGGAGGTCACACCATCGAAATCTTACGAGACAGCCAGGAATTTCAAGCTCTCTTGCCCCCCAAAATGACTACAGCCTTGAAGAATGATGACATGCGAAACAAGGAAGACGAGAGGGAGCTATTGCAGCTCCTTGTGGAATACTACATTCAGAATCGAGTCAAGGTGGAACCGGTTGTTTTGGAATCTGAGGAGGCAACAAGTGCTCCCGACACTTCTACTCAAGCATCTGCAGGTGGACACGTCACCTACCCCCGGAGTCTTCGTCGCTACTTACAGGCTTCCAGTCAGACTCAAGACAGTGCCACCTGCGCCCTTTGCTATGGAGGAGCCAGCCCAAATCCAAATGGCACTGCACTGTCAGCATGGGTCGATGGCGTTGGGTACACAACCTGCGAGGACGCTCAAGTACTTGCCAAGGACTTTCTTGACGGATCCACCAGCTGTACCATAAGCCAAATCTCGGGAGTAGCACACTGTGGTTGCCCCAACCTACCTCCCATCAACCCTGACATTGGGTGCAACTTTTGCGGAAACGACCAACCCAGCTACGACATTGATTTTCACAAGAGAATGCCACAGTTTCTTGATGCTGAAAGCGATAGCGAGCAGTTCCTCTGTTTCGACGCGATCATGATGGCACAGAACTATTCGTCCAGCAAATGTGAGGACTTTCTCTCCGCTGGAAGCAAGTACTGGTGTGGATGTCCCAATGCCACAAAACCACCTGCCACGTGCAACCTGTGTTTGGATGGAGCCCCAATCCCTGATCCTTCCCTGGAAGTATTGCCTGGTGGTAAAACCTGTCAGGATGTAATTGACATGATGGAAGCCGGATTCTCGGACAAATGTGGAGCCTTTCAAGCCACAGCGGGTGTTTACTGTGGATGTGAGGCCAATATAGAGCAGGCAGCTGGTGATGTTGGGACCTACGATCTCCAGTTTCGTGATACCCCCTGCCGCATCTGCCCGAATGGGGCCTTGCTGCCAGACACTAGCCAAGTCATCGAGATGTCATTTTGGAATAATGGCATGCAACGAAGAATGGATACTTCCTGTGGAGAGATCGAGTACTTTGCGAATGCCATGGACATGTGCAACGAACCCAGCACGTTTAGCCATGCTCCTTTCTGTGGCTGCTTTGTGGAAGCCAATGACACTGTCGGAGATGCCAATGACACTGTCGGAGAAGCCAATGATCCTGCTTCTACTACTAATGCAACATCAGGCCCCCAGGAGGACGAATCAAAGAGCCCTGCAGTTGCCCTTTTGGGGGGGCAGTTGGTCATGGCAATGATGATGACACTTTCTGTGATCTGGATCAATTATTATTGAAGATGAAGTGGAGTTAGCTTTTTTTTGGTTGCGTGTTGCTGCATGGCAAGACTCCAAAAACCAGTGTACTGCATTGTGGAAGTCAAGGAGAAGATTAATTGACAAGGGCAAAAGAAGAAGATTGACAATGGCAAAGGTAACTAGCTACCACTCAAGATACCGTAATGTAGTTAAAAGTTATGAAAACTTGTCTCGATCCTCTAATAGCTAGAGAAAACCTCTTGAGCTTTACTTTCAGCACCCTTTGACTTTTCTTTCCTTGAGCGGAATGGAGAATGGGGCGATCGAGTGCATGCATGGCTCTGCAGGTCTTTTTACTCGTCCGTGCACCATTGGCACGGTACCGGGGTATACCCCATGCACATTCTGATGCCAGTGGAGACTGCACAGTTACAGGCCACCCAGAACAGCTGCACAGACAATCCACAAACCTATAATCAGCTCATAACATGTGTGAGACCATCATCACAAAAAGACAAAGGTATTATAGCTGCAGCTCGATCCTCCTTCTTCTTCTTGACTTGACTTGAATAGTTAGTTGCTCATGATGTTTTACAATTGTCAGTCTCTCCTCTGGTGTCTGCTGGTACTACATTTAGTATCATGGAGTGAAGCTCAGGAATCTCCATCGATCAACGTGACCACGTTTTCTACCGATGAATCACTGCGAGCACGTCAAGATGTGTGCGATCGGTACCAACTTTACGACCGGGGCGAAGTGGAACTGCGATTGGCATTGAAAGGATTGACGTTGCGTCCGCTCTTTACCAAGGGCAGCTTTTTCAATTTGGATCAAGACACGAACCAACTCGACGAAGCCAATCCGGGCTTGGCGGCGGTGCTCATGGACGAATTGGCACGACGAGCCGGCTTTACGTGGCGAAACAGCTATGGGATCACGGAAGGACCTCCACCAGGAAGTGGCAAGACGTGGACCAACCTGCTTCTGTGGGGGACGGACTACTTTGACGTGTACTGCGATTGGTACGCCAAGACACTCGCTCGACTCAAACTGGGAATCTCCTTTCCCGAGGGATTCTACGATTCGTCGTACATTCTCGTGGGAGTGGCAGAAGCACCGCCTGACAACTCCATCAATCTGTGGCAATGGCTAGAACCATTCGATACTCAAGTCTGGATCTGCATTGTCATTACTATCATTGGTTCAGGCGTGTTGCATCAGATCCTCGATCATATACCTCCTGCACGCCAACACAAACGACGACCCACTAAACCCACTTTTAATGAATACAGGTGACAAAACAGACGACTAAGTACGAATAGCACCTCACATCACGATGACTTGGGCAGAAGTAGATCCTCTCTTTCCAACCACAACAATATCAACACGGAAGAAATATACGAAGGAGCGCATACCATTGGAGATGGGATCTTTCTATCCTCTCTACTCTTTACACAACATTTCCAATTCATGCCACGCACTGCACCCTCTCGCCTCTTTAGTGCATCCATGGGACTATGGGCGCTGCTCATTAATTCCAACTACACGGCAAATCTTGCTTCCTTTTTTGTCATTGAAAACACACCGCAATTAGCCATTCAATCCATTGACGATGCCATTGCCGCTGGATTCCCGCTCTGTGTATGGAAAGATACCGCCTCACACGAATACGTCAAAGACACGTATCCACAAGCTAAATTCATAGAGGCAAACACCGAACTAGAACTCTATCAAGCCATTGTCAACGGAGACTGTCCCGTGGGAGTCTCTTCGGTACAGGCCTTTCAACTCTCACAAAATCAAAAACAGTTCAATCCAGACTGCGGCCTCTATTGGGTCGGACGGATCATTGAACCTGTCAATGCCGGATTCAGTGTCAAGGCGGATGCCGGTAATCTATGCACCAGTCTCATCCACAACGTCCTCAATTTGCATCTCGTCGAAATGAAAGTCGATGGATTCATTGATGCGGCATGGGAAAAGGAACGCGAAAAGACCAATGATCAGAATTGCGCGAGCGACCAAAACGCCTCAAGTGACGACACGAGCAATAGTGGCAGTCGCAGTATCAAGGAAATGGCAGGGACGTTTGTGTTGCATTCCGCCTTTGGGGCGGCGGCCGTTCTCCTCATGATCGTCATGCGATTACGCGACAAATACAAACAAATGTCCGACCAGTCGCGACAAGAACTCCACAATACGGTATTCTCGGTGCGACGACGACCGCATCATACGAAAGATGATGACTATGGCATGCCCGACAATGACATTATGGGCCCGGACCATGACCATAGCAACCGATTGGATCATTCCGATCATCCTGCACGTGAACAACAACACGTGCGGTATGGCGGGGTGCTGACCACGGAAGAACGATTCGAGGAGCTGAAGCATAGTATGCGAAAACGACAAGATGAACTCGAGCAAACCATCCAGGAACAATTGGGGACCATTCTGGATCTTTTGCAGAAACAACAGCAGCGGCCGGAACAGTGCAAGAACGAGTGGAGAAGCAAAACATCGTCGTGGGATTTGTAGCGCCGCGGAAACGACCATTGGAAATGGAGAGGGGATTGAGAAAGCCTCATTTGGACACAACTTGACATAACTCTATTGTTCTCATTGAATTCCACGGTACATTGTTTTTTGAAGTCCTTCCATACAACACGCAACTAACTAACTAACTAACTATCTGGTGGGTGGTTACTACGGTATGGCTTAGAGGGAACTATGGGAGGGGGTGGTGCACAAACGCGGGCCGAGCAATCAATCAAGTACAATTCATCTTCAATAATTGATCAAGATGATCACAGAAACAGCCATCATCATTGCCATGATCAACTGCCCCCCAAAAAGGGCAACTCCAAGGCTCTTTGATTCATCCTCCTGGGGCCCTGATGTCACATTAATAGAAGCAAGATCGTTTGCTTCTCCAACACTGTCACTGGCTTCTTCGGCCGACACTGTGAAACTCTGGGTTCCTGATGTTGCATTGGTAGTAGAAGCAGGATCATCTGCTTGTCCAACAGCTTCATCTGATTTTACCGGCACTGTGAAATTGATGGCTTGGTAGTACTCTTCTGGCGCGTCTTCCACCAATACCTGCTCTCCAACCAGGACCAGGAACGACCCTCCAAGAATCCCATCACCGGAAACATCCAAAATGACAAAGGCATAGTCACCTGCAGCTAGATCAAAATCGACTTTGTAGTCATCAGGCGTGAGGAACACGGGAGAAGCAGCGACACGCTCACCCTCCGAGTCCAGAATGGACCATGCAACATCAGACGAAAATTCATCAAAGACAATTTGTACCGTGACAGTCACAACGGTGCCATTGCCGTCAATATTGCTCGGAACGACAATTTCGCGGGCATCCAAATCTCCACAACACAAAAGATCAAAAAACTGCTGGACATACGGACACTCAGAGGCATTCTCCACACGCCCAATGATGCTCAATGCGTCCTTGCAGTAGTAGTCCAAATCAAAGGGGGAGCAAGACTCTGGCAGGACGTGGCACTCGGTCTGATGGGGAAGAGGGGCCGGCTGGCTGGGGCAACCACAGGAAAAGTACCCAATGTCTTGCCAGCGAGTGCATTCCTTTGAGTCGTCCGCAAGCACAAGCTGAGGTAAAAAGGATTGATAGTCTTGGCATGTCACTGGTGAATCATCCGAGTCGTAACCTTGTACTTGCGGGTCCGAGCCTCCATCACAGAGGCTGCAACCATTTGTGTAGGGTGTCCCCTCGCAACAGAACTTGATTCTCTTGGAGAACTCGTCACACTCTTCTTGAGACTTGGCGTGGTTGGCAGATGCCACAATATCTCCACAAGTTTTGTAGTCGGGCTGAAACGTAAAATCCAACCTGAATGGGTCAATCTGGTCGTACGAGCAAGGCAAGGGGCATTGAAAGGTATTTGACCGTTCCGGTGGCGCCTGGGGGCACCCGCAGGCAAGGAAACCGAGTTCCTGCAACTGTGTGCAACGGGGCTTTCCATGGTGCAAGTTGGGGAAGGTGGGAAGACTGGCTTGTACGCTCTCACAAGTTTCAGCAAATGTAGATGGCAGATCGGGGAAGAGAGCCTCCGTTTCATTAACAACCGTTTCATTGCCCCAACAGAGATGGCAATCGGTAGTTTCATCCTCCACAAAGCAGCCACAGAAAGGAGCATGGCTAAACGTGTTGGGTTCGTCACACATGTCAAAGGCATTTGCAAGGAACTCGATCTCTCCACAGGAAGTATCCATTCTTCGTTGCACACCATTATTCCGATAGTTCAACACGATGACCGAGCCAGTGTCTGGCAGCAAGGCCCCGTTCTTGCAGATGCGACAGGGGGTATCACGAAACTTGAGATCATAGGTCCCAACATCACCAACAGACTGCTCTAGATTGGCCTCACATCCGCAGTACACACCCGCTGTGGCTTGCATGGCTCCACAGCTGTCCGAGAATCCAGCTTCCATCAGGTCCATTACATCCTGACAGGTTGCACCACCTGGCAATACCTCCAATGAAGGATCAGGGACTGGGGCTCCATCCAAACACAGGGTGCACTTGGCAGGCGGTTTTGCGGCATTGGGGCATCCACACCAGTATTTGCCTCCAGCTGAGAGAAGATCCTCACAGTTCTTGCTGGATGGGTAGTTCTGTGCCGCAATGATCATGTCGAAACAGAGGAACTGCTCGCTGTTGCTTTCGAGATCGTGGAACTGTGGCATTTTCTTGTGAAAATCGATGTCGTAGCTCGATTGATCGTTTCCGCAAAAGTTGCACCCAATGTCAGGGTTGATGGGTGGTAGGTCGGGGCAACCACAGTGTGCTACTCCGGAGATTTGGCTGATGGTACAGCTGGTGGATCCATCGAGAAAGTCCATGGCAAGTACTTCAGCGTCCTCGCAGGTTGTGTACCCAACGCCATCGACCCATGCTGACAGTGCAGTGCCATTTGGATTATTACGGCTGGATCCTCCATAGCAAAGGGAGCAGACAGAACTACCTTGAGCCTGACTGGAAGCCTGTAAGTAGCGACGAAGACTCCGGGGATAGATGATGTTTCCGCCCGCAGATGTTTGAGTAGAAGTGTCGGGAGTACGTTTTGTCTCGCCAGATTCCAGAACACTCGGCTCCCCCTTGACTCGATTCTGAATGTAGTATTCCACGAGAAGCTGCAATAGCTCCCTCTCGTCTTCCTTGTTTCGCATGTCATCATTCTTCAAGGCTGTAGTCATTTTGGGGGGCAAGAGAGCTTGAAATTCCTGGCTGTCTTGCAACATTTCAATGGTGTGTCCTCCATTCTGTGCCAGCCTTTCTGCAATGTAGCGAGCAATGGGTTGACCAGGCTCCAAACCCAAAGCATCCATGAAACTCAGAATGAAGGTAGCGCAGTTGTTGTTGAGAATGTCATAGGAATTCTCACTCCTCTCCTGGGGATAATCTTGCCTGATGGTTTTGGCCGTGTGGAATGCTTGCAAGATGGCTTTCAGTGAGAACGATCCCCGAAAGCGGAAGACGTCATCCTCATCCTGGTCTCTACCAGACTGATATCCAGCTTCTTCCACAATGATGGTTCTTCCCGTTTCCCCACCATCGTGGAGCACGAGCTTTTCATTGCAGAAACCAGCAGCGTCCTCATCATTGTTGGCATCATCTGCGGTGGTGGGCATGGGAGTGATCACATGATAGATGTGTGTGTTGGCGTATGTTGCCATGGTATAGAGCTTCTCCTGGCACACAGCCTGAAAAGACTTCCAGGCGAGGGTTTCGAATGCAGGGCCTACGAGTTCTCGAGAGCGTCGTACATTTTCCGTATTACAATCCACGTTAGTTGCACCGGCAAGTCCTGTGAGTTTGAAAGAGCACCGATTTTGACTGTTGTGAACGAGTAAGCTACCACTCCAAAATAGAAACAGATTGCTCACCAACAACAAGCAGTGGTACATCATTGTGGCACACAAATTGCTAAAAGATCAGTCTCCTCCTTCACGGGCTGTTTTGATTAGCTGTAATACTCAGTTTGTAACTAGTGACAGCTCTGCATGGTGGCTGTTATTAGCTTTGGTGTTAGCTCTGGTGTTCTCGGAATTCTGGGCAAATCCAAGCTTGTGCATATGGCGATGGTGACATCTACAGAGGCCGTACGTACGAGAGTGATTAGTTAAGTAGGACACTCGATGATATCAGCGTTGGCTTACTATTACCGTCTATGTCCTACTAATGACTTACGACGGTGGTGGGCATGTAGAAGGCCTATCACGGAGTACTGCATTTCCTATACACAGCTTAATTTAAAGTACCGCACCAGCCCAAGTCCGGAAACATTAAATTTTACCTAGACTATTACCCTTAATACCGGTACGAGGAAGAAACATGGGTTTGAGAGGCGCCACAGTTTGCGCAACTCCCGTATGAAGCACTGAAACAGAAGAACCAACGGCAACCCGCCAAACAGAAGAACTGGCAACTGGCCGTTACCTTGCACGAGGACGAACCATCCCCACCGAGGCACCACCACAAGACGACACCTTCACCAGGAAGAGTGAGGTGAACGGACTCATGATTCTTCAATAGTCTAGGCATAAAAAGCAGCTGCAAGCCGCACCGGCAAGGTTTCATCATAATGCATGGCAACGGTGTTTTAAAAAGTAAGTAAGTTCGTTCCTTTCGGAGGCCAGACTCATGTCTTCAGCAGTCATTCTGCCCTGCTGGCTTTGAGTTTTAGCTGCAAGTTTCTTGCATTCTGAAGAACTTTTAAAAATGAAGTAAGCCGATCTGTCAATTTAATCAATGCTTTGTCCCATGTACTAGAAGTACCTTGTACGACCGCTGTACATGTACAAACGATGTTAACTATCAAGAGGGTAAAACCTGCAGAGCAGCTTTGTTTGGCAAAGGGGGATGAGCAAACTTGCCCATAGCCCTGCATTGTATTTGATAGTGTTTTTTGTAAAATTGTCTGTGAAAAAGCGAATATTTGTTTTTGGATGCAATTTTTCTATTGGATTAGATTGGATTGGATTGAATTGGATTGTATTGGATTGCATTGCATTGAATTCCAGATTACTATAAAAATAACAGTACTATTCTGAATCCAATTCAATCCAATTCAATCTAATCCAATGCAATCTAATCCAATTGAATCTTGTTTCCTGCAAAAATCTATTTTTGCTCCTTTTTCTTACATTCGCCACTTCTGTTGAGTACACTACCGCGCTATACCTGGTAGCAAGATTTGCCCATCCCCAAGGATAAAGACAACACCTCTGGAGCTCTCCACTATCCAAGAGAACTGTCAAGTCTGTTGCGGTAGCATGCAGCAATGATCATGCCGATCGCATCAACGAGAGTGGCTTCTACAATAATAGCTAGCTAGCTAGTAGCTAGCCAGGGCACAGCACCGCATTTGTACCGGTACAAAGCTGTTTCATTGTCGTTCGTTCGCTCGCTTTGCTTGTGCTTTGCTGTCCCGTCTGCCGGAAGCAAGGATGCTTAAGATGAGTATACGGCACATTTGTGGTACTAGGTAGCTATAATAGCAGATTACATATCGCTGGCTAGATAGCTAGCTAGCTAGAAAAGGCTGAAGTGTAGTAATAGTTTGTGTATGTTTTCAAAAAGGTTCTAAAGGTTTTATAAACAAGTTTGTTCTATGAACAGATGGTTTTGCGCAGGCAGGAGAGTGGAAGCGGAGGCTCTTTGCTTTGTATGTGTTGTATGTTCAGGACTTTGTACAAGTCAGTATGTGCATTGCATTGTATTGCTCGCTCTATGCCAAGAGTTGGCTGGAGAAGCGAGGCTTGAGAAAGTCGGCGGATTTGGAGGCAAGGTACTTGTTCCAAGCGGCCCACTTTTCTTGCTTCAAGTAGCTGAGTGGTGTGTTTCCACGCTTGTCTTGAATGTAAAGGAGATCAGGGCATTCAGTAAGGATGAGGTCGACCAATTCAAAGTTGGTAGTGTGTGCCCAGCAGGCATCGTGGAGGGGACTGCGGCCGTAGTCGTCACAGACTTGGAAGGGGACATTGGCGGTTTGTGTCAAAAAGGTGGTCACTTGAAGCATGCCCTTGCGGCAAGCCATGTGCAACAGGGATTCTCCGAATTTGTTGCTGCACTTGAGGGGACGTCCCTCGGCGTGGTACTGCTTGAGTGTGTCCATGTTTTGGGTGCGGATGGCAGCAATGGCTTCGTGATCGTAGGCGGCAATCTCTTCTTCGGTGGGAGGATGGAAAAAGTTTTCCAAAGCACTGAAGGATTGGACAGTCACACTGTGTTCGTCCTCTGCAAGAGTCTTCAAGACAACAGTCTGTGGGCTAACGGTTTCTTTGGTGGCGGCAGCTCGCATGCGATCGGGAAGAGAAGACATGAGAATACGCTGCACCTTGCGAGGACGCGGTTGTTCCTGTTGCTGTTCTCCGGCTTCGTGAGTTCGCTTCATGGTAATGGCGCACATGGTATTGTATTGTTGATGGATGGGTTGATACTAGTAGTAGTTGATGTTTGTGATTGTGAGTCGATTGGGTTTGTGAGAAGATTGATGGAGCCGCTCCTTTCTTGGTTTCTTGCTTGCTTTGTCTGCTCAGCACAAGCTGAGGTGTCGGCACCTTCTGACAGAGAACCCGAAAACAGGTCATTGGAAACTCCAAAATGAACAGCTCAGCCATCACTATCACAAGTTCAGTACTCACAGAAGGTTCACTTGGTTTCACGATCCCGAAAATCTGAGGTGGCAGACAAAACAACGTCGAAAATAATAATGATGGCGCGATCAACCACCAAGGGAACAGCACTGTTGTGTACCACGAGCAAGGCCGCGATCCATCAACCCACCGAGCATCGAGGGAACAGCAGTGTTGTGTACCACGAACAATCCAGTGCCACCACACGAATGGGAATGCCGCTGGTTCAGATTCTTTGGTCACAGTCTTGCAATTCAGCCTGAGGTGGTGTGCTTTTCAATATGATGGTTAAGTCAGAAGGGAACTATGATCATTCTCCGGGTTTACCTTGCCGTAGTTGGGCTGTTCGAAGCGTCACACCAGGAGCCACCTTGGTAATAATGATGACTGCATTGCTGTTTTCTAGCTAGTTGCGAGCTGTGAGCTGTTAGCTGCTGTTGCGTGTTGAGCTCCTACTAACTACGCTGTACCAGCTACTAATAGTATCATTGCATGGCTGAGCTGTCTGCTGCTTGTCAATACCGGTATCAGCCTGCAAGGTTGGATGAAGCTACGCGATCGGGAAAGATGATGAATCGAATGGATCGAATCTATGACCCCCAGATCCCGTAGACTGATCGATTTTCTGGTACTCAGAAATCCTCTACGCGCCGCGCGCGTAGACCTGGTACATAATCGCTGACGTGTCTGACACCAGAAAAAAGCAACGGCTGCGGCAAAAAGAACAACAAAATAAAAGAAACATGCTGACAATGGCAGATAATGGCAACAGTTGCTATGTAGAATGTTAAGACTGACATAGAACACCATACAGTTGTAACTCTCCACCATGCATGCGCAGCTATCCAATTGGAAGTAGTAGCATAGATGCCATGGTCAGAGAGAAAGCTCAATTTTTCTTGCCAAATGGCACACACTAGTAAAGTCCTAGCAATGTTGCATTTGGGCTGTGGCGACACAAAGGAAGGCTCCTTGTCATTGAGAGCCCATTCGAAACAGGACTACTCAATGACAAACTTACTTGCAGAAATGGGTCTGAACACCAACAGAGGATTCACCATTGACTTCTCCTCATGATTCTCTGGCAAAACCTTGATCCTCAGCACTTCCAGCTCCCTGAGTTTGTTCTTCTTCATGGTGAAAGTCCTCAGAGCAATGAGGTCTTCAGTGCCAACACCTCTGTGGATCAACTCTTGCTTGACATCATCAGAGTGGTAGGCAGCCCTGAGCTTGCCATACCTCTTGAGCCATTGATGTTGTCAGATCGGTCCACTCCACCATTCCTCTGCCTCTGGTTTCCTTCTTGTTGATGGCTCCCTTCTTGATGGCTTCATGCTTGAGGTCCTCCAGTCTCTGCCCCTGAAATGCTCTATCTTCAAGACCTTCTGGATGTCAT